TTCATGATCCCTTACTTCTTTTGTTTAGTAAGTAAACCGACATGCATAAAACAATATAACAGAGGCTGTGAATCAAAGACCAGATCTCCTTGTGAAAACATCAGCTAGACATGCAAACACATACTTCACGAGATTACCTTAACGAGATTTGTAGTGGTACTAGCAAACACAATCTGAAATAAAATGAGGCGTTTTCAAAATGGCTGACTTGGAAAGGAGACACTACATACAAACAACTCATTCTTCCTCTCCCTATAACATTTTTGTCAATTATTTCCTTTCTCTTCTGAAGTAATAAAATAAACCCAACAGATAGTCACCATTGCCATGGGATAGATTGTGTAGATAATGAGGGTTTCCCTGATCAAGTGTCATTGCTCTAGCAATGAACCACCATACACCCCTACAGGCAGTCTGCATGGGACACAGATATAAAAGATGTTTAATATTATATAGGAATATGTCAACACGTTTTATGTGTCTTCTGAGAACATGACTCTTTCTGTTTCATGGGGGCTGTAACTGACTTATTAGTTACTTAGTTTATGTGAAACTATCAAACGTGAAAAAACTGGGTACGTCAATAATGTGATATCAGATACTTCAGTATTTCTTTCTCTACAGTTGTAAAATTTATGTCCATCTTTTAACAGTTTCTGCGAGTAATAATGAATACGTCAAACTCAAGTCAGAACAGTCTAACTCTTAACCCCGTCCTGACACCACCCACCCATCCACGTCTAGCTCTACCCCTTCCTCAACACAATCCTTACCTCAACTCCTACCCCCGTCCTGACACCACCCGACCATCCATGTCTAGCTCCACCCCTTCCTTAACACAATCCTTACCTCAACTCCTACCCCCGTACTGACACCACCACCCATTCATGTCTAGCTCCACCCCTTCCTCAACACAATCCTTACCTCAACTCCTACCCCCGTCCTGACACCACCACCCATTCATGTCTAGCTCCACCCCTTCCTCAACACAATCCTTACCTCAACTCCTACCCCCATCCTGACACCACCCACCGTTCCACATCGAGCTCCACCCCTTCCTCAACACAATCCTTACCTCAACTCCTACCCCCGTCCTGACACCACCGCCCCATCATGTCTAGCTCCACCACACCCGTCCACTTCTAGCTCCCACTCCTTCATATTCTGCCTAAATGCCCTTTTAACTATATACATGTTAATGAGGCACCAAGATCATATTCCCAAAGGCTGGCAAATAGCATCTTTTATTGATAGCTGATATAATTAGATATCTGTCTATTTATAGACAATTATCATATCTAATTAAGAATTAAAAGATATGTAATTGTGTCTGCTTCTATGTATATTGAATGAATAATCAATCTCATGTACATTGTCGAGTATAGTGGGCGTTGCAATGAAACATTGTGTTGTAGATGCGTGCATTATTACAAAATCAATATAAACTACTTAAAAGAGGTTAAAGAACACAGGCTCTTTCATATTACTATTGATCTGTCATGCCATGAAAAATTAAATGAGTCATACAAACAAACTGGGTGTTCTTCAAATACTTATGGTTAGTACAATTGGTAGGACAATGTTTGTGTTATAACAACATAAAAGAACTTTAGTATAATCAATCATCCTTGTCCATGTCTTTCTGAACCCACAGCATTGTTTTAATTTGTTGTTTGTGTCAGTTTTGAGTAATTTACCCCAAATTACCTATTTAGCCATTGCTTTCTTTCTTTGGAAGAACAATAATACAACATTTCTGTACATTTTATTCAGCTACTTCTAGCAACAGGGAAAGTAAAAGTTGGTATTTGTTGTTGGTGGAACAGGTCGTCACATCACAGGGTAATTGTTCACAGGGGTTCACTGTCCGTAGTCAAGCCATTTGTTTCTTATCTCGCAAACATAAGAGTTGCAAATCGCCAGCGGTTAATTCGCTGACGTTGATGTGATTTATGGAAATATTGGACAGGTGACGTTCATGTCATTTCCAGCCGACATGCATTCCGGTGGCAAGAGTCGTAAACGTCCCACTCTGCATCAAAACAGCATAAAGCCCCGGTTATAACTACGACATATAGACATGGTCGTACTGACACAATGAGGGAAACTGTTGGAAACTAGAGCATGTGGTACGTCAGTGATAAGTACTCCAGCCTTCTAGTGCTGCTTGCCTCTGGGAACCTGGCTGTGACGCACCAGCGCAGGTCTGTAGATCAACACGGTGATACACAACGATCACTCCCTCTCTCTGTGGGACTTTAGCGATTACACTCATTTATTGTTGCAAACTGGATGCAGATGACTGTAAACAAGCTTCAGGTAATTCCATGTTTTTAAGTTATATTTGGGGTAATGGTGCAGTCTTTTTGCTTGGACACTGTGTGTATCAACACAGTGATACACAACGATCACTCTCTATCTCTGTGGGACTTTAACGATTACACTCATTTATTGTTGCAAACTGGATGCAGATGACTGTAAACAAGCTTCAGGTAATTCCATGTTTTTAAGTTGTATTTTGGGGTAATGTGCAGTCTTTTTACTTGGACACTGTGTATGTACAACTAGTAAACAAGAGCAGACTAGTTGGTTTGTTTTTCTTATGTGGGAAATATTGGCATGAGTGTGAACAGCTCGTAAAGGAGAAACAAGACTTTGTTCATTTGCTGTTGGGAAATATTGGCATTTTTGTGTATTTCTTGTAAACATAACTGCAGACTTTTTGGTTTGTCTTATGTGGGAAATATTGGCATGAGTGTGAAGAACATGTAAACAAGACTGCAGACTTGGTGATTTGCTGTTGGGAAATATTGGCATGAGTGTGAACAACATGTAAACAAGACTGCAGACTTTGTGATTTGCTGTTGGGAAGTATTGGCATGAGTGTGAAGAACATGTAAACAAGACTGCAGACTTTGTGATTTGCTGTTGGGAAATATTGGCATGAGTGTGAACAACATGTAAACAAGACTGCAGACTTTGTGATTTGCTGTTGGGAAGTATTGGCATGAGTGTGAACAACATGTAAACAAGACTGCAGATGTCTCAGTTTGCTGTTGGAACATACTGGCATGAGTGCGTACAACTTGTAAACAAGACTGCAGACGTCTCGGTTAGCTCTATTTCCCATTATGCATCATGAGTCAGCCTGAAATGATACTATAGAAAAGGTATTTTTCTCCACGATTTAAATGCCCATAATTAGGGGTGCATATTATACATGAGTGCATATTATGCACAAATATATGCAGTATGAAGGCTCCAGTATATATGTACAGTGTATGTAAATCCAGCTGTGCTGGTCCCTGGGATCGGTCTACCTGTATCATCACGCCCTCAAACGAGGTGGTGACCACCTGAAGATGTAGTGTACCTATTTCTTGTAGAGGTATAGCTGACATTGCCATAGCTGACAGTATCACTTGTAGACACGGGGTTGCATCTTATCAGAGACCATATACCGGTATATGGTCTAAGATCTTATATACCTGTTTGCCACAATGCAGGTGTGAGGGTTTTTTTCTGAAAGGCTTAAAAATATATAAATGTTTGGTCTTGTTTTGCTTTGCAGCCTTTTCATACAATTCAGCAAATTTATGATCAATATATTTCTGCACATTTACAGTTCATTGTTCATTATATTATCACATATACATTTAATTAATATCAGCACATTAATCACTCATCTATTTCGGAACATTTACAATTACATGTAATTTCAACACATACAATTCAATAATTTCAGCACATACAATTCAATAATTTCAGCACATATACAATACAATAATTTCAGCACATATAAAATTCAATGATTTCAGCACATACAATCCAATAATCTCAGCACACATACAATTCAATAATTTCAGCACATATACAATTCAATAATTTCAGCACATATACAATTCAGACATTTATGCACATATACAATTCAATAATTTCAGCACATATACAATTCAGACATTAATGCACATATACAATGCATTATTTTTAGCACATATGCAATTCAATAATTTAAGCACATACAATCCAATAATTTAAGCACATGCAATTCAATAATTTCAGCACATATACAATGCAATAATTTCAGCAGATACAATCCAATAATTTCAGCACATATACAATACAATAGTTTCAGCACATATACAATGCAATAATTTCAGCAGATACAATCCAATGATTTCAGCACATTTACAATTCAATAATTTCAGCACATATACAATTCAATAGTTTCAGCACTTTAATATGCAAATCATGCAAGAAATGATTGTGACAAACACAGCACCAGTTTGTGGAGAACCAGTTCAGATTAAACTTCTTTGCTGGTTGTTATCTATGCTAGTGAGTTTGTAAACACAGGTGATAGTGGCAGCTTCAAGGCTGGCCAGCCAGGCATGTCAGCTCAGCGAGTCAGCTGGTCTCTCCTGGGAATTACACACCATAGTGACTCGGGGTTGTTCAGTGGATGCTCTACACTGACTTTAACAAGTTAAAGAGCAGCATTTGTTGTTTGTTGTTAACACCGCACTCAGCAATATTCCAGCTATATGACGCCGGTCTGTATATAATCGAGACTGGGCAAGACAATCCAGTGATTGACATCATGAGCATCAATCCTTGCTTTTGGGATACGATGACATGCATCAACCAAGTCAGCGAGCCTGACCACAAGATCCATTTGGTCACCTTACAACAAACACAGGTTGCTGAAGACCAATTTTAACCTGGATCTTCATGGGGTTTAACCAATAAGAATGAGTGAGTGAGTATGGTTTATGCTGCTTTTAGCAATATACCAGCAATATCATGATGAGGGACACCGGAAAATGGGCTTCACACATTGTACCCATGTGAGGAATCAAACCTGGGTCTTCGGCATGACAAGCCAACACTTTAACCACAAAGCTACCCCACCACCCTTTAGTTTCTGAAGCTGCACACAAAGTTCTGCATATTTTGATTAATTTGTTTCCACCACACCTGACATTTTACTTTTATTTCAGATAAACATGCAGTCTCCATTGTTTTCTGAAATTCTGGTGAAGAAGATGGGTGGAAAAGATATGAAGGCAACTATGTTGTGATTGGACGACCTTCACCTTCCTGTCACGCAGAGCAGACGTCATCATGGCAGGGTGGACGAGTTTAACTGGATACCTCAACTTTAAGCCAGGGGGAGGTAGGACATTTACAATGTTAAAGTCTCTATGAATCTCTGTACTTTACGAAGAAAGTGTTATCACAAATATAACATCAGTTACATTAAAGTCTCTAGTTTATCAATAAGGGCTCTTGTGGCCCAGCTGTCAACAGCTCTGTAAATGCCTGTGCAGAGTTGCTCCCCTCAGTCATATCAGAATCTGATGATCATTTTCTCAAATCCCAAACTCATGTTTGAATTTTGTATGCATAATGGTTTGGACCTAAACAACTTATTGATTAAAGTAGGATTAAATAAAAAACCTGACTGATGATCTAAAATAATGTCATACCTATAGAGCCTTAGCTATAATTGTAATTTAACCTACAGGTAGCATTTAGATTACATTCAATGTTTGTATCTGTGTCAGTTGAGCACAACCTCACTCTGAGACACATCGTTTACTTATTTTTTGGGCCAGACTTTTATTATTTCTTCGGTTGTGGATTTAAAAAATATTTAATGAAAAACACATGGCAAAATAATTTTTTATTATGCAAAAAGGTAATCTACCGGTTTGTTGCCATCTGTGCAGGGTCAGCCAAGCTTGGCGCACTGTTATAACCTATTGTCTTGCAGTTTAAACTATTGAATGCAAAATCATTTTATTGTGAACAGATGTATATGCATTCAGCAACACTACAAAAAGAGATATTTTTATTTGCACTCTTCATTTTTTAGGGTTCGATTTCGAGTTTGCTTGGCTTATGTTTCGAGGTTTGTCAGCACTATGCCCGTGTGGGTTTCACCAAAGTGGTAAATGTCTGAGACTTGCATCACTTCGGGCTTTCCTCCCACATGCTTACATGCCGTGATATAACTGGAATACTGTTGAAAGCAGCGTTAAACCAAACTCCATTTTGCGTTAAGGCAAACTCACTCACTCACTCACTCACTCACTCACTCACTCACTCACTCACTCACCAACCCACCCATACACCCACTCACTCACCCAAACCCAACCACCCACCCACCCACTCATTCACTCACTCACCCACCCACCCACCCACCCACCCAGTCACTCACTCACTCACCCAAACCCAACCACCCACCCACCCACTCGGTCTGTGACATCCGCGAACCAATTTTAGAAAACCATCTTACCATAGATTTATTCCTGTTTCCATAAAAGCTTTTAGTGAATCATAATCCAAGTGAGCCAAGTGATGCATACGATTACATCCAACTGAATCATCACATAACATCACATCATTCTGTTCACCAGCCTGTATGCGTATTACATAAGTATTGACTTTTATATCATTACAATACCTATATACCAGTAGGTATATGGCGTGTTGATTCAAACAATTTCAAAATTGCAATATTGACCGAAAGCAGTAGATCCACGAAGGGAAAGCTAATCACTCACAAGGTGCTGTATAGATCTATGGCCACCTGTTGGCAGGGGAATAGTATTTTGATAAAGACGACAGTGGTACGTTGTGACACAAATACCGCCATCATGAAGCGAAGACATCGAAATAGGAGACTTGCTTTGGATATTTTTAAAGAATATTTTGAGACCCACATCCCAGTGAGGGCGAGGCACCTCACAATTGAGTTTCCTCCCCTAGTGATACCTGTGTTTGGAGGTAAGATCGGAGAATCGTGACTGCGTATTGATCTGATACTGACTCATTTCTGACTGGAAAATATCCCGAATGTATGACGAACCATATGGATTCGATGGTTTCGATTAATAGAGTTCTCTTTTTAAGATTTAGGTGTGTCATAATTGTTAGAAATTAAATATATATATATATATATGTTAAAATAAACAACACTTGTATGTTTAATCTCCTACATCTTCAGTGATCATTTTCAGATGTTAAATTTGATCAAAATAATACTTTCAGTTTATTTTTCTTGATATTTATAATAAACAAATATTCTAGTCACATGTAGAGTTAGGCAAAGTCTGTCTGCTTGTTAATAAATAAAAGCGACCATACCTTTTCCATGCTTTGACGATGGCCGCCATCTGTGACACAGGCCGGAATGTGTCAGGTGCACCCACTACACACGGACACCACAACATGAAGCTTATGTCGGACATGTACTAGGCATTGATATAAATATTTATTAAATTATTGTATGGAAAGGAATCCTGCATTGAGATTTCTGATACAACTGTAATTGCTCTGTATGCGGAGATGTAATCACGTCATCATGTGACCAGCCGCTGACAAATGTAACTCTACCTTTCCTGTCTGTGCTTAAGTCACCTCATTTAAGAAATAAACGATGAGTGGGAGTTGTTTATCATACAATAAAACACTGCAGGGAGAATAAACCATGAGGGCTGCAGCCCCGAGTGGTTTATTCTCCCTGCAGTGTTTTATTGTACAAAAGATGAGATGAGATGTCAATATTATGTACAGCCTCTTTATGAATGATGATAAGATGTACAAGCTTTAAACATTTTTACCCGTACTTAGATAATGATGACTCCCTTAATACAATCCGTCCTGGGCAATGTCGGACAAATCCATTTTATCAATTTTATTCCATATTCTTACAATCCTCACGTCAGTTGCCTGTACACTTGCTCCCAAGACAGATTGTCATATCTCTACTGTTTTTGGATGCAATTATTTGGCCATTACGTTCATCTGCGTTTCCAGCTACATCTATAGGGAATAACTTACTAGATACTCCCCTCTAAAAAATAGCGTCATCCAATATACAACGTCTTCAAGTTGTGAGCACATGTTTGGATCTCCAGAAATGACGTGATGATAGAACAATGTTTTATCCTAAAATAAACCCCGCTTCATTCTTCATTGTTCTTTGCGATTATCTTATATTCGTGGATAACCCACACTGCATCGTCCAATATGTGAAAACAAAAAACAAATGAGGGAAAAATTATTTTATCTTATGTTTATCAACACTCTTGTCTTAATGAGAAAATACGCAAGGTAATCTTAATCCCTGGATGTAAAACAATGCCTAGCAGAACAAAAATACAATTTAAACGGTAGATCAACATATTTGGTGATTTTGTATCTCAAATTTCAAATTTGTACTGAACAAGTCTCTTATCACACGTTCTTTTACCGGACTTCGCTTAAGGAGTACGGTGAATTTTTTTTACCGGCCTAATATTCAATTTGTTTTTTACAAAATGCTGAATCCGCTAGAGGGGGGTGCACATTATACTTGGGTGCGCACTATACTCAAGAAAATATGGTAATGTTTACTCGAAAGGTGTAAGTTGGCCAGAAGGATTGGCATCAGCGTTAGCTCTCCGTAATCTGTCAACCTCAATGTTTCTGGTCTGCTATACAACATAAGAGCTGACATATTCTACTTTGTGTCGTCTGCCAACTGCAGAGCCTGAATAAATCCATGATGACGGTAGTAAACAGGTCTGACGGAGATGTGTGTGTCATCTGTGTAGGCCATAAAGCAGGAAGGTGTGCATGGCCTCCAAGTGGGGCACTTGGCTGACTGTTTTTCCTGACCATGTGGATCATTGCCCATGTTATCAACCACACATTTAATTATCTGCCTACTGTAAAACTTTCAATCAATAAAATACGAAAAAGACCGAGAAATGAAGTCTTTTGGGTAAATGTTTCACCAATTCTATATCGCCTCGCAGCCAGTGTCTTTAAAATGCCCCAAGGGTTAGTGACACGTTCAGCTTCTGAGTAACCTCCATAGATGTCCATTGCACTGCCGAGAGTGCTTCAAAACAATGGTGAGGTCTGGTGAAATGGGGTTTAACGTCACGTTCAAGATTATTGTACTTATATGGTGAAGTGCATGATTGCGTGGGCTACATAATCGTAATACATATTCAGGGAGATTCTAGATCAAACCCATGATTAGCATAGTCCACTGGGCCATCCAAGATAGAGTTCAGGGCCCACTTGCACAAAGCAATCTTAGCGCTAAGACATATTGTTATCCTATGTTAAAGTATGGGAGTTACAATCATCTTAGCGCTAAGATTGCTTTGTGCAAGTAGGCCCTGGAAAAGTCAGTCTATAAAATTTATTATAAGTCACAAAATGGCTGAAATACAGACAATTCATTCTTAAACATAAACTTTACCTGGGTCATTCAGGATGATACATACTGCCAGCGAGTCATTAGAGGATTCTATGATGTGTTGCAGCTCTGAGTCGCCTCAAGTCCCGGAAGCGGATGTGGTGTGCCCTGGAAGAAAGTAAATGCCAGCTGTTGTACTACAAGTCGGAGGCTGATGCCCGGTCCAAGCCTCCCGCTGGGGAGGTCAACCTGAAGGGCGCCGCCATTACCCTTGACCTCGACAACCAGAACCAGTTTATTATCATGTAAGTATTCTATACCACCAGACCTTGATTATATCCTTGAACTCTGGAACTCTTAGACACTTCCCAAGTTGTGCTCTGTCAGCAATCGGGGCAGTCGGGTAGCCTGGTGGTTAAAGCGTTCGCTCATCACGCCGAAGACCCAGGTTTGATTCCCGACATGGGTACAATGTGAGAACCCATTTCTGGTGTACCCCGCCGTGATATTGCTGGAATATTGCTAAAAGTGGCGTAAAACCTTACTCACTCACTCTCTCAGCAATCTTAATCTACATATGCTGCATAGGAACAGCAGACTAATTAGGTGTAAAATTGTTCCCAAAGTTTTATATGTACTTCCTATGAAGCATGTGACCCCGTGTCCTCAGTGTGACCTGTAGGTCGCTATGGAGATAAACACTATGTAAGCCAGTACTGGAACTATTGAGCACTATCTGGCAGATCTTCACATGCAATGCCAGGTGAAACCGCTGGCTCTGGCAGATTTTATCAGGAGTTCATGGTATATTTGGGCTGTAGAAATTAAAACTATAGACATATATAGGTAAGTCATTCTTTGACAGATCTCTTTTAGACAATGTATTTCCAGTGTCTTAGGGGGCGGTCGGGTAGCTTAGTGGTTAAAGCGTTCACTCGTCACGATGAAGACCCGGGTTTGATCCCCGACATGGGTATAATGTGTGAAGCCCATTTCTGGTGTCCCCCACCGTGATATTGCTGGAATATTGCTAGAAGCGGCATAAAACCATACTCACTCACTCACTCTTCAGTGTCCTAGATGTCTGGGAAGGTTGTCAAGTTATGTTACAAGTTATGGAGTAATTGCCAGGCCCCGTTCCACAAAGTGATCTTAGTGCTATCTCTGACTGTTGTAAGGCTAAGATAAATGCAAATCACAGCTAATTAATTCCCATATCAAGGGTGACTTGAATTTACACCAGGGCAACCAGCAAGCATGTTTAATCACAGTGCTTACATATTTCCTCTAATAGATGCTTCTGCTGTGTTATAATAAATATTTGGTATCTATTAGAGTCATTTTCATTTTCTATTAGAATCATTTTCGGTTTTACTACCCCCAGCATGTATAAGAGACTAGGTGTCTGTTTTTCCAAATTGGTTTTGACCCAGCATGTTTTAGACACCCAGTGTCACCACAAAAACTTCATTAGAGGAAGTAAGGTATTTTGGTCTGCTGTGCCTATCCATGCAGAGGATTTCTGTCTGTTATTAGTGGGTCTGTTACGTTGAACTTTGGAAGTGAGTGAGTGAGTTTGGTTTAATGCCGCTTTTAAGGGTATTCCAGTTATATCGCGGCGTGTCAGCTTAATGTGGGAGGAAAGCCCGAAGTGATGCAGGTCTCTGACGTTTACTACTTCAGTGAAACCCAAGAGCACGGGTATGGTGCTGACAAACCTAGAAACAGCATTGGGGCGAACCAGGATTCGAATCCACAATCATAGGTTTCTGGCATGCCCAAGGGATGCAACTCTGCACAGCAAATCGTGGGGCCTTAGACGACTGGGCCACCTGTGCCCCCTAAACTTCGGAAGTAATCCGGTGTGGTATACATGATTACAAACATCAGACCACTGAAGTCCATGTGTGCATGTTCTGCCTGTATGATTCTACTCAAAGATTAATTTCAACTGTTTACGAAGACCTTCGCTGTCAGATACATAATCCTTTGCTCCTGACAGATATAGGTATGTAGGTACACCACATGGGCTGACATAGAGGCTCAGCCAGGCAGCTGTCATAACGCCTACACCCAGCTCTCTGTCACCATGTACATTACCTGTCACGATCTTGATGACCTGTCAATCAAAGTAGAAATACGATATTCATTTTGATTATGAAACTGACAAATGCAATAGAATGTTTTAAAGTCGGTGTAGGTGCTTGTCGTTTCATGTTTGCCACTGCGTTTCCAATTTATACAACTCAAAAGAAGTTAATGAACACCTGAGTCTATAAACAACAAATAAACAAACAAACAATAGGGTCAGGTGGTCGCTATGGCTACTGGCTACATTAATAATCTAATCATTCATTTACTGGCGCTGTCTTACATAGACTGGAGTTAGGTCCCATGGTGTGTCTGGTGGCCCACATGGTCTGCAACTCGGAACGACAGAACGGTGGATTCTGAGTTTCAATAGGTCCCCAGCAACCGATGCTTGTTGTACAATGCGCCTTTATGGATCAGGTGGTCAGGCTTGTCATCACACCCAGTGTGCGGCATAAGATCAATCACTGGTTCATCTGGTCCAGATGTGATTATTTACAGACTGATGTCATATAGTGGATTATTTGTTAAGAACGATCAAACGAACGAACGAACGAACGAACGAACGAACGAACGAACGAACGAACGAACAAACAAACAAACAAACGAAGTTTTGGAAGTACAAGACAGCATGCATTTTTCTAGAGTGGCACGAATATCATGTATCTTTGTGAAATGTCAACAATAGAATTCACATTGCACTTTTGCTAAAGTTTGAATTGCTCCTATGTTAAACTTTTTATTGTATCTAATCTTTCTTATGTTAAGAAGTGTGATGATTGAAGAGTATTTATTGATCTTGAAAGAGACACTGTAAAATGCACCATTCAATAGTGCTGAGTGGTCTGTATTGTGCAGTAGGTGTTATGAGGTTATCAGCCCAGTTGGTAGCTATGAGTGTGTAGTACCGGATGCCATCACACACTGGTGACAGCCTAGCTGGGCTGGGATGTCCACAGTGAAGGGCAGACTGCAGTAATGAGGTCCTGGACTGTGTCAACATGGGCTTACCGCTCCGGTAAAAACACAGGCCATATCTCTAGGAACGTGTAGTATTCGCTGATTGGACAAATAGTGTGCTTGGCCAGGTGGTGGCAATCAACTTGTAAGGATAATGATTACGTGAATAAATAAATTCTCATCGGCCCATCAAACCATTAATTCCTGCAATTCGATTCAGGAAAAAAATATCTTAGTTTTACCTAGATTATTTTTAGAATATATATATATGAGTATAGTGCGCACTTTTTTTTCGAAAAAACACAGCTGTGTAGAAGGGGGTGCGCATTATACACGAATTATGAGTTTGGATGTTTTTTTCCCCCATGGAAAGACATTGCCGTGAGCACGAAACACCGGGAATACCATGTCAACAAATCCATACTGAAGTACGCAAAATAATTATGTAATTACACTGTCTGGCTATAAAAAGTGTTCTTTGTATATCTGGACTTATGTTTGTAACTTATTTCATTGATTTTATTCAAAATTCCTTATAATATTGTTTTTATTAATTTCGGCGAAATCGTGTGTGAAGCGATCGGAAGATCGCACAACTCACCGTTATTAACAGCAACCACGGTCAGAATACCGCTATTGACGCCTTGAAACAAACTTTAGTTGGCAGAGAATGGATACATATATCATAAATGACATACTTTGACTCGTTAAAAGTCATATTTGTTTTTGTTTGACGATTCTATGTCAACATGAAATTCTCGCGATCACGTGATCACGTGCGCGTGAGCCTTGACGGTGACTGGTCAGACATGTTCCATGTAAAAAATAATATCCGGGAATAGCGATCAGCTGCTTCGCTTAGGGTTATTATTATTTTAAATATGTTTAGTAAAGGTTGCATATAATTAAGAAAATAATGGAATATATTTTTCCTGATAAATAAAATAGTTTCAGATACAATTGTTGCCGATCCTTGCATTAAAAATCTTATAAAGTTATATCATTGGGTGTGTCTTGACCGAATCACCGGTCGATTCCAAGAAAACGTGTGTACAGCTGATTGCTGTTTCCAGCTTAGTTTACGAGAAAATACGCAAGGTAATCTTAATCCCTAAATATAAAACAATGCCTAGCAGAACAATAAATACTATTTAAACGGTAAATAAACATGTCTGGTGATTTTTTATCTCAAATTTCGAATTTGTACTGACGAAGTTTCTCAGCACCCGTTCGTTTGCCGGACTTCGCTGAAAGGGTACGGTGTAAACAATTTCTGCGCATAATATTCAAATTTCTTTTTTTCCAAAATATTGAACCCGCTAGAGGGGGGTGCGCATTATACATGGGTGCGCACTATACACAAGAAAATACGGTAATTGTTTTGTATTGAGCACCAAACTTTGAATTATGTCAATGTATTACTTATTAATAAAAATTAAAAAACAAATAGTTATGTCCTCTAATTGTGATTAAAATGATACAACTTATTATCATACTTCCATGTATGAGATCTGATAAAGTCTACATGATCCTGATAAAATACTATGTATCCCACCTTGGAGGGAAATAAATTACTCAACAGGTGAATAAATCTGTTATACCCCACCAAGAACAGGAACAGGCAGCACGTGGATTTCTCAGAGGCAGAATAAATCCCTTATACTCTATTTCGATGCAAAAAGCTTTTTCCAAGTCAATGAAAGTCAAATAACATAGCACAAGTTAACCTCAGCTCAATCAAACAGCTATTTTCTATCAATTTTGAATTTGTTTGAATTCTTTTACAATGTCATTTTAAAACATCTCGGTAAAATAAATTTGTTGTAGCAGGATCATGAGGGGTACATGGGGTACTTACATTGTAGCAGGAGAAACAAGTCTGAGGACGAGCTGCCTTATACAACAGAAGGTATTCAGTACAGTGTCATTGAGGAAAACAAGAAATAGCTTTCATTCTGAATAGATGTAAAAATATTATTTTAAACAGCCAAGAGGAAAAGATATGTAATTTCTGCATAATTATGCAATAATCACCACAAATCCAGACTGAGCTGAGGAAATCATTAAATTCCCACCGCTAGAGAATGTAAGGAAATTAGTAAAGACCTAGACATCAGGCGGAAAGTCCTACCACAAGGATTAGGGAGGATTAGACCAGCTGTAGTTTGTTTCTTGCAATGACTTTGTCGTATTGTTCCCAAAATGCATATTGTAGTGTTTCCTGTAGGGAAGGACAATGTGGTTGGAAATAATAAAAAAATACATTATTTCTGCATTACAACTTTTAATGATGGGATGTCACTATCAGTAACATTTTCAGATCCTAAAGTTAAATATATTATTTTATCCAAAACTGGCTTCCACAGGAGATGTTGCTTGGGTGAGATCAAGCTATATCTACTAAGAGAGATCTCGCTACAATGAAATTGCATCAGAATGCTTTGTGACCATTGTGACATCATTGGTTAACGTGACATCGCAGTCGTCACTAATCTCTATGCCACTGAAGATGGTTAGTTGTATCTTTGACACTAAGACAAAGGGCCCTGTTCTACAAAGTGATCATAGCACAACGACAGTCGTAAGTCTATGTTAAAGTATGGGAGTTACGCTCACCTTAGTGCCATGATAGCTTTGTGAAACAGATCCCTGGTTATTACTGTTTACAAACTGAAAAAGTAGGAAGAAGGATCTTGGACATCTTCCCAAGGCAAGAGAGTTAACTGACTATAAAAGTCCAGTTTCCACTCTTGCCAAACTAGGCTTGAATTCCTGAGCTCAATGGTAGCGCCACCAGTGGTTATTACGAGTTATGTCCCTTTTAACCCTCTCCTATGGACCAATCATATTCCAGCTCCCGTATCACTTGCATTTGTTTCAAACAAAACGGCTGCGCCCAGTCAAGACGATCTGATCAATAATCAAGATCTATATTGTGATATGTAAGTCTTACATCGCAAAGTGCATCAAATCACGTGAGCACCTTGATTAAAAACACGAAAAGATTTAGAAAATATCTGTTGACAACGAGTTAGCGGTGCACATGCTTTGCAAATCCTGCATTCAACCGAAATCTGCATACCACTTTACGAACCGGATTTCAATTTCGGTGCGCGATTTTGCTTGGACTACGCATAAACTCGTTAGTCCAGCCAAATTATTACTCCAAATGTATTCCTACCTAGTTCGGCAAGGGTGGAAACTGGACTTTTAAAGTCAGTGAACTCCTTGCCTCGGGAAGATGGATCTTGGATGATAAATAGAATCGCACCCAAGTCTCTTTTGATAACAAATATATTATCATTCATCGAAAATGTTTTAAGATTTTAATACACTTGTGTTGACATATATGATATCAAGAGAGACTCGAGAAATGTCATGCGTATTGAAAGGGGAAAGAACATTATTCAAGTTGACACCAAATTGTGTTTGGTCTGGGTTGCACAGATATAAGGTACTGGTTCTATCGGGATGTTTGACTGTGAGGTTTAGCTGGTTTTTTATTTGTTGCAGGACAGAGGGAAAGGAGTTTGTACTGACAGCGGAGAATCATGAGTCCATGATGATCTGGCTGATGGCATTACAGGTGAGTCATATCATCAACATCGTCGCAACTCATCGGAAAATTTGGTACATAACTGAACATCGGATACTCACTAAGCCCCTACTCTTTCTTATTAGTGAATGGAGTCATGGGGTGAGCCTCATGGTTAAAGTGTTCGCTCATCATGCCGAAGACCCTCGTTCCATTCCCCTCATTGGTACAATGTGTGAATCCCTTTTCTGGTGTCCCTGCCTTGATATTGCTAGAATATTGCTAAAAGCAGCATAAAACAATACTCACTCACTCATTGTTATTGGTTAAACCCCTATGAACATCCGGATTAGAATTGGTCTTCAGCAACCCATGTTTGTTGTAAGGTGAATGGATCAGGTGGTCAGGCTCGCTGACTTGGTTGATGCATGTCATCGTATCCCAATTGCATGGATCGATGCTCATGATGTCCATCACTGGATTGTATGGTCCAGATTCGAGTATTTATCACTGGAGGATTGATGAGTGAGACATTAACAAACAAATCTCATTGGTTAGATGATTAGAAAAAGAAAAGTATAGCTGACACTATTTTTTAAATTCTGTTGCAAGCAAACTTACATGTTCACAACAACCAAACTTGTGCTAAGATCTGTTAAACCGACCAATGAGAATGTCCATACAGATACTGCTCACATGACAACATATTCATTTAATGTTTTAAAGAACAAAAGGGAATATGGAATGGTACCATGAAGTGTCCTGTCTTTATTAATTAGGCCTGATACCTGTCTATCTGGTGTCAGTCTTGAAGGTGGTGTTGTCGTGAAGTGTGCTAAGCAAAGGTGACACAGATATGGGACATTTTGTTTGTTCAGTGTCTCAATAACTAAAACGTTCACTTAAAGTTTTATTTAATCACAACGTAAAAGAACATGTGTTTTTAGGGGGTTTGAACATATTACACCTCTCGGTAATGCATGTGTAAATAAACCAGTCTGTCACAAGTGATGTCGGGTGTAGGAGCAAATAGTTACGAGGAAAATTAATATTTTTATGAGTCTGGTCGACATGAGTGAAAATATTTAACTTTCATCATTCACAAGATAGACAGAACATCCCCTGGGATTTCTATGACAGCCTCAGATGTTATACAAGAACAATATTACAGTGGAAATAGCTGGTGCATTCTTGATCTATTTTCATCTGCCACATCCTTAGGAGAAGCCTTGGCAAGCAAATCCTTTCAAGCCTAACCGTGAACCGATCTATTGATTTACCAACATGGCAGACAGAGTTTTTTAGCATATACTAAATAGACCTGATGTATTTGAACAGGGTACAATGAACAAACCACTCTGTTAGGACTGACTTGATTTCTATAGTACACGTCTGAACACTCTTCAATGGATCCTGACCTCGAGGTCTGTGTTTGATCTCCAAGTATATATAGATTTTCTTTCTTCTATGCCGTGTATAAGGTCAATAGTGTAGGTGCAAAACGTGCATGCATTCATAGTCAATATGATGTTTACTTTCAATATTCCGTAATTAATGTTTAAAAATAAGTCAGTTTGCAAAGTCTGGGAACGACAGTCTACTTTGTACGGAAATCAGACACCATGGCAGGAATCTGTGCCGACAGCTCTGTTTGTGTGACATGTGTGCAGAGATAAGATATTATGTATTCATAAAATCCTTTCAGACACACCCTCTTCTTAACAAACTGGTTATTATGAAGATGAATTAAAATTAAATTGGAGCAGTTCTTTGTGGTGTTGCTATAGTGTAATAGTTGCATGTCTACCAGTGGCCTATAATTCACATAATGTTCAAGCAGTGTGATTCAGTTGATTTTTTCTCATGACTTGTTGAAATTGCTTCTGTCCTTAGTGCATTTATAAATCAATAATCATTTGAAAATTTCAACATTTTTAAATCTGTTTTTTTGTTACAAATATTTTTGAAACAACTATACCATTCATTATCATTCCTAAATTTTAATTACAGTAAACTATGGTTATAATTACTAAAAGGGACCAATAATTTGAGTTTGTTATAACTGTAGTTCATTTTAAGCATACATACAGCATATGGACGGGACAAAAACCAGTTCGTTATATACATCAGTTTATTATAAGAGTGTTCGTTATAAATGTAGTTTATTTTATATTCCTCTGATGGTAGTGCATGGAAACTAGGATCTGACATCAACAAACTTGTTTACGTCTTGTGCTTCATTCACAGTGTGAAGTAATGAGGATGATGTCTGACATGATTGTGTGTCTAATGGTTACTAAATACAACTTTAAATTACATTTTCCTGTAGATTGCCTGATTTCCTTTTGGTATACCACTCACAATAGTTTGAAATTTACACTCGAGTCTGAGTCCAGATGAATATTTGACACACCTGGGAATACAATAAATCGCTTTCGTTTTTGTCAAGATTATGTGTGTGTTCATCAATCCGTCACAAACATGTCGTGTCAAATTCATGAACATCGTGACAAAAGTTTCTTTAACATTTGGCTGCATAGAAATCTGCTTTTTATACTTCATGCATGACTTGCTTTCTCCACTATAGATTCTGTATGTCATCTCTGTCAAGCTTCATGTTATAGCTTGGTCCCGATCCACAGAGTGTTTGCACTGTTACAACCTATCATAACTGACATGATAGTTCATCACAGGCTTACATATGTTGTAGACCTGTGAATGCTTTGTGGATCTGCCCTGAGCCCTGTTCCACAAAGGGGGTGGTCGGGTAGCCTAGTGGTTAAAGCGTTCGCTCAACACGCCGAAGACCCGGGTTCGATTCTCCACATGGGTACAATGTGTAAAGCCCATTCCTGGTGTTCTCTGCCGTGATATTGCTGGAATATTGCTAAAAGCGGCGTTAAATCAAACTCACTCACTCACGGTTCCACTAAGCAATCAGAGTACTACGACTGTCGTAAGTCTGTCTAAAGTATGGGAGTTACGATCATCTTAGCGCTCTTATTGCTTTGTGGATCTGGGCTATGGGCCCTATTACACAAAGCAATCAGAGTACTACGACTGTCGTAAGTCTGTCTAAAGTATGGGAGTTACGATCATCTTAGCACTCTTATTGCTTTGTGGATCTGGGCCATAGGCCCTATTACACAAGGCAATCAGAGCACTATGAATGTTGTAAGCCTATGTTACAATATGGGAGTTACGATCATCTCAGCGCTATATCGCTCCGTGGATCGGGGCCCTGGTCTGTATAGAGAGGTCGACCTGAATGTTGTGTATGCCCTGACTCTCCTGCTCATGTTGTCCAGGCCAAGAGGGACCTCCACTCCAAGGCAAACATAGACAAGAAGAAGACCCCAAAGGAGGAACTGGACAAGAGAGAACGAGTAAGACAATCATGCCACTCAATAAAACACTGCATAACCTTTACGACTCATGGATGAACAGACGGAGAGGCTGGGAGGAGGGGTGGGGGTGACAGATAAAAGAAAAGTATTTGAAGGAATAAAGGTTGAAGTGGTTGTTGGATGGATGGTTGAATGAGTGAATAGATGGATGGGTGAATGAATGAATGGATGGATGGGTGAAGTGATGGATGGATGTTGAATGAATGGATGGGTGAAGTGGTTGTTGGATGGATGGTTGAATGAGTGGATAGATGGATGGGTGAAGTGATGGATGGATGAATGAAGTAATGGTTGGATGGATTGATTGATGGGTGTTCTGTGTAATTGGGTGCTGGATTTGGTGATGAATGGTTGAATGAATGTATGGATGAATAGATGGTTGAATGAAGTGATGGTTTGATGGACAAATGGATGGTTGAATGAATGGATGGTTAATAGATGGTTGAATGAAGTGATGGTTTGATGGACAAATGGATGGTTGAATGAGTGGATAGATGGATGGTTGAATGAGTGGATAGATGGATGGTTGAATGAAGTAATGGTTGGATGGATGGATTGATGGGTGTTCTGTGTAATTGGGTGCTGGATTGGGCAACAGAGTTAGAAATAAACAACCAGTTCTGGATTAATGCAGCCCTTTTGAAAAATATACCCTCTTTTCTGCTTTGCTAACCTTCAACAATAGTCAAATAAAAGCCTCTTTGAAATGTGCGTCGGGCTATTTCAGGTACCTACAGTGTTGTGATTGATGTTGAGCAGAGTCTATGTCAACACGCTGACTGTGTACACAAAGCTGGTTTTAAATGTATACATGTATGATTATTTAGCAACTATTCGTAAAGTAAATCTGAAGTTGCACCTCATCTTTTTTATTGAATACTTGTTGAGTGTATGAGATTTTGTGAAATGTATTATCTTTATCGGGTCGCACTTGCACAAAGTGATCTTTGTGCAACGACTATTGTAAGAGTATGTAAGGGTATGGGAGTTATGATTGTCGTAGTACTGAGATCACTTTGTGCACGTGGACCCTGGTGCAATAACAATTGTCTTGAGTCTCGCACTGGAGGAACTTGTACTCTTTTGTGGAAAGCAGACGACGAAGATGTCTTTATGATGATGGCAGGTGGGGCAGTTGCTAAGGGTTGCGAAGGGTTGCTAGTGTCATGACAGCACAATTTGTGTTTTTCCTAGAGAAACCAGACAGCATTTATAAGAGAACATATTTGGTACCATGTGAGTATAAGGTGATCTGCAAGCTCCTCACAGCGATAGCCGTTCGTGGAGCTCTCTATACTATCGCTGCCACCAGTAAAAACTCCCCACTGTGATAGGTGGCCCCAACCATGCTTGGAGTTGAACTCGCAACCGAATGACCGTTATGTTAACAAACAAGTGACGACTGTTCTCACGCCGAATACACTTACCGCTGATAAATTACTTTCTTTGTTTGTCAATTTGAATTTCTATTTCATTAAAAGCATCATCTTTAATTGATATAGTAAGAATGTAAGGGAGAAGTTGGTTGATTTTCCGTTAGTCTGCAATCTCGAACCAATCTGATTATTAAAACAACAAAGAAAATTCATCTGGAATATGATAGCATTCCCAAAGACATAAACAAAAGTATAAACGTTACTACATATGGGGTTAGAGGGCAAATTTCAAGATTCTTGTAATGGCCGTGCCCACACTGGTGGCAGCGATGTTACCGAGAGTGTAACGAAGGTGTCACGCGCTGGGAAGGAGCTTGGTGATCTGGTGTGGGATAACAGTACCAGGAGGTACCTCTGTCATCTCCAGGGAAATGTTTCCTTCAACTAGTCAACATTTTATTTGTTTACAGGCCACAGATCAATTTCATAAAAGAAATTCCGTAATATTTTTTTAGAGCATTTTATGTGTTGGAACACACCAACTCACTCAAAAAAATAAATCAGTCTTATGTTCATTAAATTTTTCTGTTGATGTGATTGTCAAATATCAGATATCCTTTTAATAAAATCTATTTCCCTAATCACCCTTGCTTCAAGTAAGAGATATCTCAAGATCACACAACAGTTTGTAACAGTTCTGCTGTTTGAGGCTATGTATTTGACTGGTTAAGATATGGACATTGTGAGTTGGTTGTCTCCTGTAGAGGGATTCCTTACTAAACCTTGCCATGTTGCCCTCCTCAAGGTCACACTCAGACATGGGGTGTATAGATCTAACACTTGGCAGGCAGCAGCGGGAGAGTCTCACCATCAGGTTGGGGAGGAGGTAGACTGTCTCCCAGTCCCTGAACCATATTATTTTTCCTTCTGCCCAGCTCTTACTGTAGTTATAGCCCTAAATGAAGCAAGTCTAGATTAGCAACAGTCTGTCTCACAGTCCCTGAGCCATGTTATTTTCCCTTCTGACCCGCCCTTACTGTAGTTATAGCCCTAAATGAAGCAAGTCTAGATTAGCCACAGTCTGTCTCACAGTCCCTGAACCATGCTATTTTCCCTTCTGACCCGCCCTTACTGTAGTTATGGCCCTAAATGAAGCAAGTCTAGATTTGCCACAGTCTGTCTCACAGTCCCTGAACCATACTATGTTCCCTTCCACCCAGCCCTTACTGCAATGCTATAGCCCTAAATGAAGCAAGTCTAGATTTGCCACAGTCTGTCTCACAGTCCCTGAACCATGTTATTTTTCCTTCCACCCAACCCTTACTGTAATGCTATAGCCCTAAAAAGAACCAAGTCTAGACTTTCCACAATCTGTCTCACAGTCCCAGAACCATTATATATATTTTCCCTTCTGCCCATACCGGTACTTTAGTTCTGAAAGAAGCAAGTCTAGATTTTCCACAGGTTCAGGTCTGAATCTCTAATCTCACTGGGGCTCCTTTTCAGTTTAAATGTACCTTCTTGTTTCTATCAAAAATATATTTTTTCAGAGACTAAGTGTTAGTCTAGGAAGAAGAAGAACTTAACATGAAGATGCTTTTTTGGATAGGTTCTTAAACTGACATTAACCTTATTTTGGAGATATATGTCATGTTAATTTTAGTATACTGTCCTCAAACGGTATTTTTCTCTATGTATGATTTTGCATGAACAGAATTTTCAGTTTCCTTCAGTTCTGTTACCTATTCAGAATGTATCCTGCTGGCTTTCATATTTCTAATGTCTACGTTTAGAAAGTGGTCAACCATTTATTTCTTTGTGCATCCCAGGCTGATATTGACCTATCTTTGACAAAAAGTCTTTTCTTTGGTTTCTAAGCATGAATTTTGTTGTGAACTGGAATATCATTTTTCTATCTAATGGACACAAAAATGTTGAACTGTTGATCAGTATATAACACATGTTATTGATGTGACCTTGTAAATACCAAACCCAGGACACTTGCGGTGATGCTTCAGTGGAATTTCTAAATCTAATTCTTGTATAATTTGTGTCACTCTGTAAAAAGTAGTACCGTATTCGACGTAATAAGCGCCCAGGGCCCTCTCAAAATTAGAAATAGGGGGCTCTTAATACAATATTATTTTGGTGAAAAACAACAGAGTTGAAAGATAAATTTCGTGGTTTATGCTGACAGCCTGAAATGTTTATATACGACATGTATATTTTTCCAGAATTTAATTGCCTATAATTAAGGGTGCATATAACACACGAGTGCGTATTATACGCGAATAGATAAGTCTTGCGTACATTGATCAATCCGAAGGGGTGCTAATTGGGATTGTTCACTAGTCAATATATTAGCAAATATCGCCGTGGGTGCTTACTAGAGCGGGGCGCTTATTACGTCGAATACAGTATATCTTCTATTCATTAAAGATTGTCAGTTATTCAAATTTGGTTTGAAAAGAAACTGTTTGTGTATTGTGTATAATGATGTTCATGTGAGGATAAGATACATGGAAGAACAACTTCTTTATAATAATTAGGAGCGACGGTTCGGTGTAGGTTCTAACACCGTTATCAAGCAAGTGGTGTTCTTTCTTATATCTTATCCTTACTTAGTACTCCAACTTCTAAATGCGTTTCGAGGAAGTTAGCATGATGTCAACTCTTTTATCAATTAAAATTTCTCTGTAAATCCAAGTTTCAAATCAGTGAATCAGTCAAAAAGTAGATCTGTCCACTGAATAATTTCCCACTTTACTACTTCCTTGAGGGCGGTGGGGTAGCCTAGTGGTTGAAGCGTTTGCTCCCCACACTGAAAACCTGGGTTTGATTCCCCACATGGGTACAATGTGTGCAGTCCATTTCTGGGATCCCTGATGATATAGCTGAAATATTGCTAAAAGCAGCGTAAACCAATACTCATTCACTATGTTGTCCTTATGATGATTCGTTAAGGTGAGAACAAATATGGTTCCACAATTGATTTATGAAAAGGTGTCTGAAGATTGCTAGCCTTGAAGCAGAAATAATGTACTTTCACTGTTCTGGTGACTGAGAACCATGCTCAGCCTCCTCTATTCCTATTGTAGATATATCACATGTCATGTTGCTTGTATTACCCAGAGTTCCTCCGACATCACGGCCATGAATCCCGAAGGTAGCCGTCACAAAGCCCTTGGCTACTCCCAGTCCCTTCACATGAACAACGGGCCAGCGTCGACGTTGAACTCCAAATTCCGACACTATCAACTTCAGAAGATCGGAGAATCATTCGACGTGAACAACATGCCATCTCGCAAAGGTACATCAGTCTCTAATGCTTAGCATAGCCTAGTGGTTAAAGTGTTCACTCATTTCGCTGACTGATAGGTTTGATTCACAACATGGGTGCAATTTGTGGCTAGTTCCTGGTGTCCCTAGCTGGGGTCTTGTGCAGCGGCATTAAACCTTTCTCTCACACACTTGTGTCAGGCATGCAGTCTGGTTGATGAGATTCTTTGCAGTGTACCCTTCACCTTTAAGCACATGCTCGGAGCTTATTTTTGGGGTGTGGCTGTGTCAGATTCAAACTAGAATCGCTGGTACTAATTTCAGTCAAGATTTATGTTTCAGTTCCTTGTGGTGCTACGATGAAGATTGAGTATGATGTAATTAATTATGACAGATTACTTGTGCAGATGTGGTTATTGGCCGGACATTTCTCCATATTGCAAAAAATATTCCTGATTCTGATACAGTGATGAGCTTTTTGTTGAATAATGTTGCCAAGTGACGGACATGTGTTCAGTACTCCCAGAAACAAACCAGTTGAGAAAGCTTAATATATGGTTAAAGTTTAAGTCCCTGTTTTGAAAAGTGAAATAAACTAAAGATATTTTTGTGTTGCTTTAATGTTTCAGAAAGCTTTGATTCTTCCAGGAATATTACTTCAAGTTGAATGCTATCAATGTAGTTGTATCATAGCTGTGAGATGTTCAATAAGATTTGTTATAATAGAACAGAAGGGCCCAGTCTTGCTGCGAGTTAGCTTAAATCTTCTAAAATTATGTCAAATTTTCATAATCTTTTGTGTATGTGGATATTAGCAATTGTAAGATACATATCTCCTGTTGTAAGAGGATATTAACACATCGCTAAGATACATAATAAAAGTCAAGTGATGTACAGTTTTGCAAGAACATTCTCATCAATAAGTTCGATGTCAGTACAGTCATCTGTAATATACAAGGACAATACCCCAGAGTTAGTAGGCAATCTTATTGTGTTGAGGTCATTTGGTAAATACATCAGGTTAGTTCTGTTCAAGTCGTGGTCCATGAGCTAAGCGTCGTTGTTCACCGTCAACCATCCATTATTCACCAGTTCAGGGCATGTCATGGTCCCACATTGTGAACATCAATGGTTTCACTTCTAGTTTACTGAAGGCATCATCCAACTAATGGCACACTATTTTTCTCCAGAACAATATGAAACTGTGAATATATTATGCAAAGGGACATCCTGGTTAAATTTGTCTGTGATTCCTTCTTGGGAAAGGGGGACATAAAAGGGTATGTCCTCATCAATCTTAGTGAAGATGATCCTCAAGGAGTTGAGAGTGCGAGTATTCTCTTAGTGAAGATACTCCTCAAGGAATTGAGAGTGTGAGTATTCTCTTAGTGAAGATACTCCTCAAGGAGTTGAGAGTATGAGTATTCTCTTAGTGAAGATACTCCTCAAGGAGTTGAGAGTGTAACATTTTGCCTGTTTTCTCCTCTACAAGCCTCTCATGAGAAGGTGGACCGATCTCGTTCCTTGCCTCCAGTGTTTGAAGGTAACCAGTGCAGTGATAACGTGAATGTTGTCCTTTACGTTACTGGGAGACTTGGTAGTAAAGTTGTGGGACAAGTGATGATGGTGGAGGTGCACTTTTCCCCAAAACATTTTGTCCCCATTGCATGAAGATATATCAGAATGAAAGAAACATACTTTGCTGATTTTAAGTGAGGAATTAAAGTTTTTTTCCAGATTCTTAAAAAGTAGGTTTTCTCACCGCAGAGTGCAATCTGACTACTATTATGTGAAAAATACATCATACAGCTTTGAAATTATCTCGACACTATCTTTCAGACATTTATTTATTTGGTACTCCAGAAACTCATGAATCGATGGTCATCAGACAGGAAATACTGGTTCATGTCGTAGTAGATACTTGACCCGCTACAAATAATACATGGTGGTCACTCTGTCAGGGTGTTAACTGATCGCGATGACTTAAGTCAGTGTATGCAAGGGTGATAGCTGATTGTGATGACCTCAGTTAGTCTATTCAAGGTGATAACTGATCACGATAACCTCAGTCTATGCAAGGGTGTAAACTGATTGTGATGACCTCAGTCAGTCTTTTTAAGGGTAATAACTAATCGCAATGACCTCAGTCAATCTATTCAAGGTGATATCTCACTCATCGTGATGACCTCACTCAGTGTATGCAAGGGTGTTAACTGAATGCAATGACTTCAGTCAGTGTATGCAAGGTGATAACTGATTGGAGTGACCTCATTCAGGCTATTCAAGGGTGATAACTGATTATGATGACCTCAGTCAGTGTATGCAAGGTGATAACTGATTGCAGTGACCTCAAAACAGTCTATTTTTCAAGGGTGATAACTGATCATGATGACCTCAGTCAGTGTATGCAAGGTGATAACTGAATGAGTTGACCCCAGTAAGTCTAAGAAGGTTAACTGAACGCAATGACCCCAGTCAGTCTATGCAAGAAGGTCACCTGAGCGCAATGACCCCAGTCAGTCTATGCAAGGGTGTCCTCTATCATGGTAAGATGATGGCAATGACCCCAGTCAGTCTATGCAAGGGTGTCCTCTATCATGGTAAGATGATTGCAATGACCCAGTCAGTCTATGCAAGGGTGTCCTCTATCATGGTAAGATGATTGCAATGACCCAGTCAGTCTATGCAAGGGTGTCCTCTATCATGGTAAGATGATTGCAATGACCCAGTCAGTCTATGCAAGGGTGTCCTCTATCATGGTAAGATGATTGCAATGACCCAGTCAGTCTATGCAAGGGTGTCCTCTATCATGGTAAGATGATTGCAATGACCCAGTCAGTCTATGCAAGGGTGTCCTCTATCATGGTAAGATGATTGCAATGACCCAGTCAGTCTATGCAAGGGTGTCCTCTATCATGGTAAGATGATTGCAATGACCCAGTCAGTCTATGCAAGGGTGTCCTCTATCATGGTAAGATGATTGCAATGACCCAGTCAGTCTATGCAAGGGTGTCCTCTATCATGGTAAGATGATGGCAATGACCCAGTCAGTCTATGCAAGGGTGTCCTCTATCATGGTAAGATGATTGCAATGACCCAGTCAGTCTATGCAAGGGTGTCCTCTATCATGGTAAGCTGATGGCAATGACCCAGTCAGTCTATTCAAGGGTTTCCTCTATCATGGTAGGATGATGGCAATGACCCAGTCAGTCTATGCAAGGGTGTCCTCTATCATGGTAAGATGATTGCAATGACCCAGTCAGTCTATGCAAGGGTGTCCTCTATCATGGTAAGCTGATGGCAATGACCCAGTCAGTCTATTCAAGGGTTTCCTCTATCATGGTAGGATGATGGCAATGACCCAGTCAGTCTATGCAAGGGTGTCCTCTATCATGGTAAGATGATTGCAATGACCCAGTCAGTCTATGCAAGGGTGTCCTCTATCATGGTAAGATGATTACAATGACCCAGTCAGTCTATGCAAGGGTGTCCTCTATCATGGTAAGATGATTGCAATGACCCAGTCAGTCTATGCAAGGGTGTCCTCTATCATGGTAAGATGATGGCAATGACCCAGTCAGTCTATGCAAGGGTGTCCTCTATCATGGTAGGATGATGGCAATGACCCAGTCAGTCTATGCAAGGGTGTCCTCTATCATGGTAAGATGATTGCAATGACCCAGTCAGGAGTAACGTGAAGGCAGCACCAGCTTCACTGTATATAAGTAGTCATCTAATATTAACTACTGTAGTCGATGCAGTGTGAATATAACCCACTTCTGTGTAAATCTTGTCTGCCTCAACACCCTGTATGACTTCAGCTTGTACTATTGGACATAGTTCACACCTCATATCTAACTTGCAGTATTTCCACAATAAAAAAACCATATAAAACCATTTTTTTACGTACTTATTAACAAACAAGTCACCCGATAAATGACCCAGTTTGTATTTTTTGCACCTTTCTATACGTTTCTGTTTAACATTATAAGGATCTCATATTCTAATCACCTAAATTGAAAGATGCCCCTTTGCCTGTTTTATGGAAGTTTTATTGATGATCCAATCAGTTTGAAAGATAATTTTGAATAATCTGAAAAGAAAGATTTAATAAGGGAGCTCTTTGGCTGTGGATGGTATATCTGACACCATCAGCAACATCACCATCAGCAACAACAGCAGCATCATCAGTGTAGTATTGTGTGGCGCCGTTGGCAGAGTAGAGCTTCATGTGATATCACTTTGTCTTGCATCACAGCTTCAAGCATTTACAAGAACACTCACGTATATACCTGACTTCTACAATACTTTGTCAAAGTTACTGTCATCAACAGTGGCTCCGGCACCATGACATGCATCTTCCTGAGACAAGGGCGTTAACTGACTTTAGAAGTCCAGTTGGCACCCTTGCTAAACTAGAGGCGGTTGGGTAGCCTAATGGTTAAAGCGTTCGCTCGTCACGCCGAAGACCTGGGTTCGATTCCCGACATGGGTAAAATGTGTGAAGCCCATTTCTGGTGTCCCCCGCCGTGATATTGCTGGAATATTGCTAAAAGGGGCGTAAAACCATACTCACTCACTCACTTGCTAAACTAGGCTGGAATTATGGAGTTATCAATCAAAATCCCGTAATCAAATCGACATCCGGTTCATAAACAACATGGCAACTGCCATGCAGAATTTGTACAATTACAGGATATGCAGAGCACGTGTTGGGTGTCGACAGATATTTTCCAAATTTTTTCATGCTTTTAACCCAGGGGCTCAAATGATTTGATGCTCTTTGCGAGGTTAAACCTGATTTATAACAATAAAGAACTTATTATCAACGAAATTGTCTTGTCTAATTGAAGCAAGTGCAAGAGATATGAGAGAAGGAATCTGATTGGTCAGTATAGGGGGCTCATACAAGGGACGTAACTCATAATAGCCACTGTTGGTGCTACAATCAAGCCCAGAAATTTCAGCCCAGTTCAGCAAGGGTGGAAACTGGACTTTTAAAGTTGGTTAACTCCCTTGCCTCAAGAAGATGCATAAGATGGAATCCTTGTACAGAGGAGCCTGCTGTGTGAATTAACATGTAGTTTTATGGTCAACATAATTAACATCAATGTGTGATTTAGTTTCATGTAATTCCAAGGTGATTTTTCTAGATGTGAGAAAGCTTTGTTTATATTTGGCGACTAATTTTTGCAAATCGAAATAACCCATAACTCCCATTAACAAAAATAAAATTGTATTTTTGTTTGTAAGTTTCAATAATCATTCAAACATAAAACACAAGCCAGATAACACAATGAGTAGAATGTAAACAATTATAATTAATGCTGTGTAAGTATTAAAAAATAGCTAATTTATTGGCAATAATTTATCCTTTTTATGAACCTTCCTTGCTTTGGACAAATAAAAAAGCTGAATCAATCTGCTTTGCATTTCGCAGGCTTGTAATATTTTGTTTTCAGGTGATTTGTGTTTTTTATTTGATGTATATACATGCTTGTCTCCTTCTCCCAGAGATGCCTCCCTTCAAAAAGAGGTTCAGCATATCCAATCCTCTAGGTAAACCAACTGTCGTAGTGTCGTCGTATCACTTCCTGTACGTGCAGCACCTCCACACACGCTTCCTGTAGCCCCAACCTCACACACAAACTGCAGCAGTCCCTAGAACACACAAACTTCTCAAACACTCATTGAAAATAGCCATCACTTCTCTTTTGACATCTGGATTTTCTGAAAATACAATAGGAGAAATCGCCTTTAACCATATACGATCCTTTAAATATTTCATATTTAACGTTTTTTATAAAATAATTATATGAAAATATTTTGAATATATAGAAAAACGTACCTCTACAAAATGGCATTTTTTTCTGTGTTGACAAGTGTGTGTTTTCAAAGACTTAGCTCACCTGATCCTGTACAACATGCAGTGATTCATAGCTCACCTGAACTCAATACACCATACAGTGAGCAGCCTACATTCCACTTCAGAATCAGAATTGCTGAGTCTGCATTAATTCTTCAGCTGATAGTTTTGTCAGGTGTTTCTTCATGGCAACACTGGCTCACGTCAATGTCTTTATTTATAATTAAATATGATCTAGATTCTGTCGTTTTTTCACTTTTCTCTTGTGTTGTCGATGATTCTATATGTCGTTTGTGTGTTTATCCTATAAAGACATGTTTAAGAATTATATGTTATAAGTTCATGGTGTTTATAAAATCAATGCGATATGGACTTGGTAACTTAAAAAAATTAAGCATTAGATGATGCTTATATGGCGGCTCCATTTCCACAATGCATGATAATGCATAACCTTGAAATGCATATGAGTATTTATATAATGCATGTTGATAGAATGTTGCAAGATTCCTGCACCATGGCCTACCCATGCTTGGCATATTTTTTTTATTTTGCTTGTAACCCTCATTATCAGATTAGTACTTCCTGTTTCTGTACCTATTTGTGCGGTAAAATATTGATTGTATGTTGTATGTTTTCATTTCCATATCCACTGCACATGCATGTCTGTTATTGAAATTACAAAATACAGTGTGATATGAAAATTAGATCTACAAATTTTAATAATTATGTCATGTATCGTTAAATGCTTTTAGAAGCTTTTCTAACTTTGCAAGCAACACTGATAGTTTTGATAAGCTGCAATTTCGAATATCAGTTTCAAGATTGCACAATATTGACACAATACACTACTGCACGGAAATATTGATTGATCTGGCCAGGGTTTGTTTAGTAGAAAATCATTATATAAGGGGTTACCTGCCCTTGTTTTCCTAGGTCAAGGCTGCCATCTGTTGAATATATTGTATACTATGCTTAATATTGATTTTATGTCATAGTCTGGTATAAATAATAGTGTACTAAATAATATTACTATAAAACTGGCAAAATATGTGTGGTGGCCTATGATGTAGAATATTCACATAGAATTGTAATATGAGATGTATTTACTAATTATATATTAGTAGATATATATGTGTATTTTTTTATTAACTGCAAGAACAGGTATTTGGGAGATAATCATCTTTAAAATTATTGGCTTGATGAAGGATTTATAAACATGTCATGGAAAGGATAAGGATGAGGGGTGGCGAGGTGGACTGATATTCAGGTTAGATGTCAAAAGAAATATGTTAGTTTGGGAGGATTATCAATGAAATTGATAGTGATTTTACTGTCAAGATATTGATACTATTATGAAGATTTAAAAACAACAGCATATATCTAGTGAAGGTAGGGTCATGTATGAACAAATATTTGGAGCTTGTCACAAATAAAAAGTGATTATTATTAAAAAAATATCACCAGAGATTCAAAATGGCCTCCAATTTGGTTACTTACAAGTAGAACACTAACAAAATAGACATAATAGTCAGTCATTATTCAATCTATGAAAAATTATTTGAACATGCAATAAATATATGAATATGCATTGGTAGCAATTTACATATTAGCATATAACCAGATATAATTCCTAGTGCAATAATAGTGAGTAATAACTGAATGATAAGTTTATGTATGCATGGTAGTACAGCACCACACAGCACAACACAGGATTGTGATTGGTTCAAACTTATATATACTGCCTGTAGTTGTTATGTATTCTGTATCATATGAAATATTTTGATAAATTGATTTTCACTGTCACCATGAAATGTTATAAAAAGTCTTGCCTTGAGATTGTCGTAGACCAGCCATGTTGAAGTATTTGTTGTTGGGACCCGGTAAGGTTTCTCAAGGCTGGACTACATATCAAACTGCTTTTCATTTTCAAATATGTTAAAATTCATTTTAGAAAATATGTTTTTTGTATACATGATTTTGATTGTAAAAAATCATATGTATGATCTGTGAGAGAATTGCAAAGATTAATAGATTGAAGATTGTAATTCATTTCAGAATTACTTTCTGAAGTGCTTTTGTTTAATTCGGACATGATTTTCAAAAAAGTTGTTTTGTGGACTTAATGTTTATGAAGACAGAATTGACTGATTGATTTCAACAGGTGCTTCTGAAGTGAATTCTGTCTTCATCTTCCACCAGCAATGGCAGTAAATGATAAAGTCTGCATGTGTAACCTGCTCGTTTCAGAGATTCCGTCGTCCCTGTTTGCTCCGTATGCTCGACAGTTGTCCGTCAGCATGGACTCGTGTGAAACCAAGGCTAACGGCTACCGCCGAAGCTCCATGTACAATGGCGACTCTAGCAGCGGCAGCACCGCGGACAGCGATGAGTTGTATGGGGAGGAAGGACACACGAGGAGAAACAGATCAAAGGCTGATGGGATGAAGAGGAAGATGAGACAGCAGACGTTTGATCAAGACAGCGACTGTGATCAGTATCAGAACTTTGATCTGTCTAGATCGGAGGAGAGGAACCGACATAGGTATGTATGATGGTAGAGAAGTTTGTTCATAGTTCTGCTGTTGTGTGCTGTTTGCCAAAGGGGACGGGCCAGAGCTTTTGCTTAAGCTGCTTAATGCTTTGGCCAAACTAGTGGGCAAAATGTCAATCTGGTGGACAAAATGGCCAAACTAGTGGGCAAAATGTCAGTCTGGTGGACAAAATGGCCAAACTAGTGGGCAAAATGTCAATCTGTCAGACAAATTGGCCAAACTAGTGGGCAAAATGTCAATCTGTCGGACATAATGACCAAACTAGTGGGCAAAATGTCAATCTGTCGGACAAAATGGCCAAACTAGTGGGCAAAATATCAATCTGTCGGACAAAATGGCCAATCTGATGGACAAAATGGTCAAATGGTTTAATGAAGTTTGTCTTCTTGAACAATTACTGCTTTGACATTAGGACTTTCTTGAACTTTGTCTTCTGGTACAGTTACTGATATAACAGTCTGGACCTAAATCAAAATCACACAAAATGCAGTGGCATCGATTTCACCTGTTTATTAATGGTAGCCTCAAAGTAGTTAGTTCTTTGAAAAATATTCAAAATACAATATGAAGCAGAGTTTACCATATTGGACTTTGATGTTTGCAACTGTGTTAAATGTCATTGTATTTATGTAAACTTGATATATTGATATCCGATTTAATTCATTCATGTGTACACTCCATCAGGTCAGTCCTCTGTTGCCGTCATGCTTCAGGTTCAAATCAATGGCAACAATGGTATCATTCTGTTGCCAAGATCAAATATTTGATGTTCTACACATGGTTGTTGTATAAATCTGTATTGATTCAACAGAATTTCTGTCACATATCCTCTGGTATATGTATGTCATATGTGTAAAGTCCGAGATGAAGAAGTGGGTGATGTTTGTAAGACATGATCTGGTTTATGATAGTTCGATGTCTGCGTCCAGTGATTCTGCCATCGATAAAGGGGAGATGGGGTCACAAGAGCTAGGCAGAATCTCAGAGCTGGAGAAGGACTTGATGTGAGTATAGCACTGCATGTTCACCTTATGAATAACTAACTCCCACATTGTGGTTTTGTGTGTGGATGGATTTTGGGCAAAAGGTTGAAGACTGGTGGGTGCTTGTCTCTCTGTAGACTTTGATGTGAGAATAAGGCAGTGAGTTCATCTTATGGATAATGAGCTCCCACATTGTGGTTTTGTGTGTGGATGGATATAGGGCAAAAGGTTGAAGACTGATGGGTGCTTGTCTCACTGTAGACTTTGATGTGAAAAATAAGGCAGTGAGTTCACCTTATGGATAATTAGCTCCCACATTTGGATTTTGTGTATGGATGGATATAGGGCAAAAGGTTGAAGACTGGTGGGTGCTTGTCTCACTGTAGACTTTGATGTGAGAATAAGGCAGTCAGTTCACCTTATTCATAATTAGTTCACACATTGTTGCTGTTATTGTATGAAAGCTGTGGTGTTAAAAGGTTGAATGTTGCTGTTATTGTATGAAAGCTGTGGTGTTTAATGTTGAATGTTGCTGTTGTTGTATGAAAGCTGTGGTGTTTAATGTTGAATGTTGCTGCTGTTGTATGAAAGCTGTTGCGTTTAATGTTGAATGTTGCTGAGATGTGGCAGGATGTGTGGTTGCTTATCTGACTATAAAGTTAGTTGTGAATAGCACAGTTAGTTCAATTATACATAATTAGTTCACGTATTATCATGGGTATAGTTTGGAGTTAGGGGTTGAAAATATTGTTTATGAGACATGGGGTAGTCTTTTGCATGTTCCATTCCCATTTGTGCCCCCATTGCAATCCTGTGTCTGTCAGCACTCTACTCATGATAATAATATAATGATGATGGTGGTGATGGTGATGGTGATGGTGGTTGTGGTGGGTGGTGATGATTCTGAGAACAAACAGTTATTTCATGGCAAGAGGAAACAGGTGATCTTATACATTGTGTAAGAGTTATGTCCCTTATGCCATGACAGGATCTGCTTGCTGTTTGTTTTGACCCCAAAGCAGTACTATACTTATGGGTTCCACTTAAGTGGTAAATATCTAAAACTTGATCATTTAACACTTTTCTGCCATATAAAGCTAACATTCAGAGATCTAAATGAAATACTGATGAAAAAAGCATGAATGTAACTGTCATTTCTTAACTGTAAATAACTTGCTAGGAAAGCCTCTCATATACCTGTAATCCTATTTTGAGCTGCAAGAGGCTTATGTGCATAAGTCATTGCATGAATGAAATATTAACAGGCATGGTAACTTTAATTATTCATTAACTTCATGGAGTATATTCATGAAATTAATACTGTCTGTGTTTGAGAGTGTAGTGTAGCTTATAGGTATGCATTGGCTGACATCTCGTGGAAAAGAAATTCATTTTGTCACATCTTACTGGAAGCCATTATATAGCATATATTGTTTGATTCTTGATCTTAAGTGTATTTTGTATGGTGATGGAGACGGTGATGATGATGATATATCTGAATACACAAGTTGTATACGGCACATATATCTATCCAGTGAGTGAGTGAGTGAGTTGGGTTTAACGCTGCTTTGAACAATATTCCAGTTATACCACAGCGTACTAGCTTAATGTGGGAGGAAAGCCCAAAGTGATCCAGGTCTCAGATGTTAACCTACATAAAAAGGTTGTATACGACACATATATCTGTCTAAAGTGAGTGAGATGATGATGATGATGAGGAGGAGGAGGAGGAGGACAGGATATATCTGAATACACAAGTTGTATACGCACATATATCTATCTAGAGTGAGTGAGAGGCTAAGTTGGGTTTAACGCTACCTTGAACAATATTACAGTTATACCACAGCGTGTCAGCTTAATGTGGGAGGAAAGCCCGAAGTGATACAGGTCTCAGATGTTAACCTACAGAAAAAAGTTGTATACGGCACATATATCAGTATGAGTCACTCATGATAAATCCATGTCCAGGGTCCCCGCAACAGCTGCAGCAAGGAGAGGCCATTGATCAGACACAGCATAACAATGCAAAGAAACTTTTCAGAATAATGATTAAAACCCTTGTAACCATGGAGGACATGGAGAGTACTTCGGCGCTTTCAGAGACGATGTCGGGAGTTGTTTGGGTGAACTTTATGTTGGACAATGCCACTGACTGGAACTATAGTTGATCCACCTTCTATACACAACCTAAACTGCAGGTGTCTCATGCATTACCTGTCTGTGGTGTACGGTGTTGAGAACATGGAGAAGTTACGTCTGTGGCACAGGTACACGTGGGCAAATGTCAGTCTGCAAGTAGCCAAGTAATGGCAGACAGGGCTGTTTCCCCTTAGCACAGCTGCATGGTCTCTCGAGACGACAACGAGATCGTAATTGGTTTTCAAACACCGGTACGTTGTTTTGAGAGAGCAACCCTTCTGGGATTAAACATAACAAATTTTCACTATGTTTTTCGCCAGTGTATATTTTTCATAATGATTTCCGTATTGTGTCATTATAGACTTCCCGCATCATACTTTTTTCGGCCAACACGGTGAAAGGCTGCAAATATATAAGATACAGCTTTCTGGTTTAATGACACAATTCTGCCTTATTTACATGTAGAAGTTTTGAAGATATTAATGTATAAACATGACTAAAGGACTGAATGACACAATTGTCTTGAACTCATAGGAGGAAAAAGGTCCCATGATTTGAGAGCTAATATTTCATTACATTTAATCCCGGAATGGTTGTTCTCCTAAACAACAAACCTGCGTTTGGTAACCCAACACATCATTACATTTCAATACGTGTTAGCCATAGATAGAATATATGCCATGTCTGACGTGCATGCTGAATCTTGATCAGTTAAATAAAGCAAAACTGCTGTTGACGTGGGTTGAGATAAACATATTTCTTTTTTTGTCATTGACTCCACTTCAAAGTCACAATGCTTTTATTGATCCTGTTGAAATCAGGTGAACAGTCTCACACATGACTGATTCTGTGTAGTGCTCCTTTGTGGCCCCATTGTGCCCCATCGTATCCCATCATGCCTCACCATATCCCATCATGCCCCATTATTCGCCAATGTCATGGGTTGGTGCCTAGTCACTGTTTTGCCTGTTCCATGCTTGAATACTTACAGGTTCTGATAATATTTCTGCCGTGACACAAAACAACATACAATGAAATATAAGCAGGATTCTGAGTGTGTTGCTGTGATATGCCACTCACCTGTTACCTAGATTCAGTGTTAGCTGTAGAGCATGCCTGACATATCAGATGGATTGTGAGTGTGTCCCTGTGGTGCCACTCATCTATATTCTGTTATCGGTCAATCTTTCAGCTGACTCTGCAAAACAGCTTGTCTTTGTATACAGTAACATATGGCTTCAGGTGACCTCGGTATTGCCGATTTAGGAAACATATCTGTTTTATATCTCATCAGGCTAAGGAACTTTTTAGGTGTCAGTTTTCCTGTTTCCAACAGATGAAGTTTGTTAATATTAAATGTCATTTCCTATTTAAATATTAAATATCCAAATTTAATTTTGTTTAATATTTTAATAGAAATTTGAGAATTAAATCTTTCGTAAAAATATATATGAAATTTGCTAATATTAAATGCCATTTCTTATTTAAATATTAAATATCAAAATTTAATTTTTTAAATATTTTAATTGAAATTTGAGAATTAAAAACTTTCATAAAAGATAGATGAAATTTGTTAATATTAAATGCCATTTCTATATGAAATTAAATTTCCGAATTTAATTTGGTTTAATATTTTTATGGCAATTTGAGTATTAAATTCTTTTGTAAAAAATAAGAACATCTTATGGCTGTTGCATGACAGTAGAGGGATGCATGGTCTTATATGCCTCATGGTATGACGCTGAGAGATGCTGATTGAAATAAAGTACCGGTAGTTGTCTGATATCGTTTGTGTGGGACGTACAGGTGGCAGGTGCAGGATGAGTGAGCTAGTGTTAATATCTGATAAAGCTTTAACGTAAGACCTTGTGTTATCCTATAAGCCCCAAGTTGTAAGGTTGCAATATGCTGTATCGATTATAGTCAGGCCACTGTCAGGGCAATACTTGCTTATCTTATCTGTGTCTGTTGGTGCATATGGCTGGTTGCTACAGGAGTGGTGGGGATTGTTTTAGAGTGAGTGTGTTGGGTCCAATCCTGCTTTGGACAGTGGTCAAGTTATGTCTGTTCCACGACATGGTTCGACTGTCCTAAGGATATTTTGGTGACATTCATGATTGCATTTATACAGTATACAGCAAAAGGCAGCCGCTGTTCATACTAAATTGAATGATATAAAAGTAGCTAGCGTGGTCGTGTCATCTATCAGTTTGACATACATGTTTTATAGTCATATTGATGTGCGGGAAGGATTTATCTACGATAATTATTGATAAGTTTTGTAACTTTGAACAAGGTGAGGTGAAATGGGTTTAACACCACGTTCTAGATGATTGCACTTGTAAAGCGACGTGCATACATGTGTGTGTGGCTGCGTGTATTAGTCTAGGTTTATGCTGGTTTTATAGTGCTAGCCCACTGAGATTACGTGCCACAGGTTAACATGGATACCCCTCTCAGACACATAGCATTTACTCTGAGCCAACCAGCCCTTGTGTTATCCATTTAATGCTTGAACATCAGGCAGGGTAACAACAAGTATCATCATTTAATGTCAGATGTGGTCAGGAGATTGAACCACCGACCTTCTACTCTCAGGGCAGATGTTCTAACCTCTAGACCACAGAGGCAGTCCTTTATACAAGGGACACATAATATTTGGCATAATATCAACATGTTTATAGCAGCCTCCCGTTTGTAAAAACATTTGCCATGAACTCCTCCTCTGTATGTGAATGTTACCTTGCGATGACCTTGGGATGACCTTGGGATGCTGTGTTTCAGAGCCACCAAGTGTGAGCTGGCCAAGGTGATGAACCGACAGACTTGTTACCAGGACATCCTCAAACAGAAGGATGAAATCATCCTGGACCTTGACGAGAAGCTGGGGCAGCTGGGCCACGGGGACCAGGCCTATGACAGCAAGAAGAGGTACAGTACTCCTCAAAGTGAAGATGTTTTTTTTTGTTTTTTTGGGGTTTTACTCCGCACTCAGCAATATTCCAGCTATATGACGGCAGTCTGGAGTCTGGACCAGACAATCGAGTGATTGACATCATGAACATCAATCCACGCAATTGGGAATGATGACATGCATCAACCAAGTCAGCGAGCCTGACCACCTGATCCCGTTAGTCGCCTTTTACGACAAGCATGGGTTGCTGAAGACCTATTCTACCCCGGATCTTCACGGGTCTCGAAGTGAAGAAATTGCAAGCAATGCCATGGCATTTGATTGGCTAACCAAGCACTTTTTTTGGCGTTTATGTTCCCGTAAGCCAAAAAATATATTAGACCACACCCTTGAACAGACTATTATTTCCTGATTGCTTGATAATATTAGTCTGGGATGTTATTATTGTTGACATATTTATTTATAAGAATTAGCTTCAATATGTTTCTGTCTTTATGGAGTTATAAACGTAAAAAAATGGTGTGAATGCTTTGGGTTATTCCACTACATGGATTTAGTCAGTATGTGCACAGTTTTTTACCTCCATAAATGAGAACAAAAATACGTCAATTCTTAATTATTCTGGTATTTTTCACATCATGGACACAAGCTAACAATTATGATCACTGGATTGTCTGGTCCAGACTCGATTAGTTACAGGCTGCCGTCATGTAGCTGTAATATTGCTGACTATGGCTTTAAACAAACAAACAAACAAACAAACAAACAAAAGTTAAGGTAGCCTAGAGATTGAACATTAACTTTAAATTCCAAAATGCCAGGTTCAAAATTCTCCTTGTTGGTATTTTCCAACCAAAGTGACTGGAACTTCGTCCTGAGCGGCGGAACATAATACTCCCCCCCCCCCCCCCACTGCACCGCTCCCATGATGTTGTCTTGCTGTATGTTTTGTTGTGTAGCTGTTGATGACATGATGCTATCCTCATCAATATATCTGGCTTGCAGAACAACCAAAGTATCAAAAGAGTTTCAGGAGAGAGTTCGAGTCTTACAAAACCAGAACCGTTTCCTGAATGAGGAGGTGAAACGCCTGGCCAAACTGCGGAGTAGCGATCAGGTGGTCTTCACAGAGCAAGACAGGTAGGACTACAGGAGACACATGTGTTGTGTATAGTATGATGAGAAAGTGTAGAATAATTACACGTTGTGATTCCAGGAAAGAATATAGGCGAATGTGGCTGAGGTCAGACTTTTTGTTTTGATTTACAGGTTTTAGTCCAAAACTTCAGGTTGTCAGGTCAAAAATATCATAATTTCAATTTCAAATATATTTTTGAAATTTCCTCTCATGATTCGTCGTAATTCATTGTTTTTTTAAGTTGTTATGATAAATATTGAACAGGTTTCAATTATAGTATTTCAAATAAAGTATTTATAGCGACAGTAAATGAGGTGTAAATGAGGTGTTTTTCTAAAGTTAACTTATTTTTGTAAAACACTGCTTTTCATTCATTTCACATTTCAAATTTTGTGAATCAGCATATTTGTAAAGCAAGTTTTGAAAAGGTTCTGGCCAGAGTTGGGTAACAAAATCATAACATAATGTTATTCTGATAATTTGTGTAAATTGTGGAAGCCAATTTGAATGATAAATCTTGACCATCCCTCCCTATTTGTGCAGCAAGCTCCATGTCCTGGAGGCGGACATCGAGAAGTGGAAGTTCGACTACGTCTCCCTCATACAGTCCAGCATCCGCTTCACTGGGACTGACACCATGGACGACGCAGAGTTGTCACTCTTTGGTGGGGACAGGGTGAGTGAGGGATGCTGGGTAATTCAGCTGGGGTATGAGTGTAGAACTGCTTCAAGAAAGGGCAGCCATGACTATTAATGACCATTTTGCTTATAGATAGTTAGATTGATGCGAATGTAAAGTTGTCTCCCTTAACAGTGCTGCAAATCAGTTCAAATCTCTAATTTGCAACTTTTGGCCAATTTATGAACATTTTTATCCTTTGGGGTTGATAACAATAAAAATATTGTTGACACTCTATTCTGTATATTTGATTTCTGAGAAAAATATTATTAATTGATATTGTAGTGTTTTTGATATAAAGTACTGATGTTTGTAGGTTCTGACTATCATGTTTGAACTTCATTCTTTTCTAGCACAAGATCAGAGTTCAAAAGCTTCTCGATGATGCCAGGAAGATCAACCCAAGTTTGCCCACATATGAAAGGTATTTTATAGCAGCTTCATAACAGGCAGGGAAATTGTTTTGGACAGGAGTTGCCTCCCTTAGAATATAGCCTGTTTCCAGCACCTCGCTGATGAATCTAAATATTCATAATCATGATCTTTATGAATGGTCATAGTTTTACAGAAACCTTGATTACCCTTCAAAAATTAATAATGATTAGGCTGCACAACATGAATTGAATCACCATGTTTGGAAAATGTATCATCCTTATCTAATTTAATGCCACAATAAATTAATTTTTAGACTTTCCAAATTTTTCAAAGATCTTAGGCATCAGCCATTTTTATTTTTTTAAACAAAACTGTTCAAGGCATCTGTGTTAATTAACAGTCAATGTTTTTTATTCGCATGAATATTTGGTTGGACTACGATACTGTAATCAAGTAAAGAATATGGGGACACATGCAGCAATGTACTTTGTCTGTAGGCGCTTGAGGATAATAGAATATTATATCCGGGTCAAGATTTTCAAAATGATCTTATTTAAGATTCATCAAAAAGGTATGTTGTTTCACACTTCTGTAAGAATAGACTGGGATAGAAATTATTTTCTGTTGACTCGATAGTTAAGAGAATCGCTGTCACTAGTAACAACATTTCCGACGTGAAATCTTTGATGCGTTCTTTGTGTATAAGAAGGGTCGATTTGAATCACACAGCTTAACAAAATGAAATGTCAATGTTTCAGCAAATGCAGGTTATTTGTTTAAAAAGTATCTGCAGCAAAGTATGCCACCATCTTGAATTAAATTCAATAAACTTACGACAGGTATGGACCTATCTTAGATTTACGACATTCTTGCGATGTCTTAGGGCTACGATAGTTTTGAAAATAGGCTATGACAGTGTATGTTTGCCTTACGATGACTTTACAGTAACCTCAAGGCTAAGATTGTTATGAAGATCTAGATCCATCAGGGTTCGTAGTTAAGACAAGCATGAATGAAAGTGTAACAACTGATTGATGACAACATATGTGATACGTGTCCTGCTCCAGTGCGTCAGTGTTGTGTGTGTTGTAGACTGGCGAATCACGACGTCCACGTGTCCTGCTCCAGTGTGTCAGTGTTGTGTGTGTTGTAGACTGGCGAATCATGACGTCCACGTGTCCTGCTCCAGTGTGTCAGTGTTGTGTGTGTTGTAGACTGGCGAATCATGACGTCCACGTGTCCTGCTCCAGTGCGTCAGTGTTGTGTGTGTTGTAGACTGGCGAATCATGACGTCCACGTGTCCTGCTCCAGTGTGTCAGTGTTGTGTGTGTTGTAGACTGGCGAATCATGACGTCCACGTGGACTGCTCCAGTGTGTCAGTGTTGTGTGTGTTGTAGACTGGCGAATCATGACGTCCACGTGGACTGCTCCAGTGTGTCAGTGTTGTGTGTGTTGTAGACTGGCGAATCACGACGTCCTGGTGTCCTGCTCCATTGTGTCAGTGTTGTGTGTGTTGTAGACTGGCGAATCACGACGTCCTGGTGTCCTGCTCCATTGTGTCAGTGTTGTGTGTGTTGTAGACTGGCGAATCACGACATCCTGGTGTCCTGCTCCAGTGTGTCAGTGTTGTGTGTGTTGTAGACTGGCGAATCACGACGTCCACGTGTCCTGCTCCAGTGTGTCAGTGTTGTGTGTGTTGTAGACTGGCGAATCATGACGTCCACGTGTCCTGCTCCAGTGTGTCAGTGTTGTGTGTGTTGTAGACTGGCGAATCACGACGTCCACGTGTCCTGCTCTAGTGTGTCAGTGTTGTGTGTGTTGTAGACTGGCGAATCACGACGTCCACGTGTCCTGCTCCATTGTGTCAGTGTTGTGTGTGTTGTAGACTGGCGAATCACGACGTCCACGTGTTCGGCTGCAGTGCGTCTGTGTTGTGTGTGTTGTAGACTGGCGAATCATGACGTCCACATGTCCTGCTCCAGTGTGTCAGTGTTGTGTGTGTTGTAGACTGGCAAATCACGACGTCCACGTGTCCTGCTCCAGTGTGTCAGTGTTGTGTGTGTTGTAGACTGGCGAATCATGACGTCCACGTGGACTGCTCCAGTGTGTCAGTGTTGTGTGTGTTGTAGACTGGCGAATCATGACGTCCACGTGTCCTGCTCTAGTGTGTCAGTGTTGTGTGTGTTGTAGACTGGCGAATCACGACGTTCTGTTGTGTGTGTTGTAGGCTGGCGAATCACGACGTCCACGTGGACTGCTATGGGTTCAAGCACCAGTTTGATGACCCCGGCCTGCTGCTCCACTACCTGTGTCAGGAGCTGAGCGTCCACTACCTGACTCAGGCCGGCGCCTACGAGGAACATCAGCGTCGGTGGAACAACTACCTCAGGCAGCACGCCAAGAACATCGTCAAAAATGTAAGCAGATATTTTGTAGCCGAGTTTATCACATAATGGATAGTGGTATGGATGCAGAAACAAATCCAATTAACTTTGGATCATGATGTGATAAATATTCAAATGAGGTAACCTAGCAGGAACTACTTTTAATAAATCTGTGAACAGATGTGATTATGATGTGCAAGTGCAAGTTTTTCAAGTTTGACAGCAAAATGTGCCACCTTAGATTACTGGGACACAACCCCCACACGCCCACACCCCCACACCCCCACACCCCCATGCCCCAAAGGTTAGAAGGATATGTATAAATGAATTTGTGCTTTGGTATCTGAGTCTATGACGTACTGGCAAATTATGGTGCGAAATGCTGACAGCAAACTAGCAGTCTTTTCCAAACAGATTAACTTTTCTATTCTTTGGTGATAGAAATATATATGACCTCAAGAAGAATTATGAAAACACTCTTGTACAAGATGACATTAAATTTTGCATGTCAAAATGATAGGATCTATATTCCAGTGATCATTCCACAAACCGTATTGTCCATGATGTGAATGTATTGTCCGTGATGTGGATGTATTGTCTGTGATGTGGATGTATTGTCTATGATGTGGATGTATTGTCCGTGATGTGGATGTATTGTCTATGATGTGGATGTATTGTCCGTGATGTGGATGTATTGTCCGTGATGTGGATGTATTGTCTATGATGTGGATGTATTGTCCGTGATGTGGATGTATTGTCCGTGATGTGGATGTATTGTCTATGATGTGGATGTATTGTCTGTGATGTGGATGTATTGTCTATGATGTGGATGTATTGTCTGTGATGTGGATGTATTGTCTGTGATGTGGATGTATTGTCTATGATGTGGATGTATTGTCCGTGATGTGGATGTATTGTCTGTGATGTGGATGTATTGTCTATGATGTGAATGTATTTTGTGTTTTGCAGAAGAAGGGTTTGAAGCATCTGTGTCGTGGCGGAATTCCGGACCAGTTTCGGAAACAGGTGTGGCGGCAGCTAGTCCACGACCAAGTTCAGGATGTCATCACAGAGAAGGGTCCGCACTACTTCCGCAATCTCTGCAACCTTGTTCCGGACTCACCGGTAGGCTACAGCATCAGTAATCTGTGGGGTGTTCAAGTCTTGCCTGAATACAGGATCCGTAATCTGAGTGTGTTCAAGTCTTGGTTGGCTACAGGATCGGTAATCTGTGGGGTGTTCAAGTCTGGCCTGAATACAGGATCTGTAATCTGAGTGTGTTCAAGTCTTGGTTGGCTACAGGATCGGTAATCTGTGGGTGTTCAAGTCTTGGTAGGCTACAGGATCAGTAATCTATAGGGTGTTCAAGTCTTGGTAGTCTACAGGATCTGTAATCTGAGGGTGTTCAAGTCTTGGTAAGCTACAGGATCAGTAATCTGTAGGGTGTTCAAGTCTTGGTAGGTTACAGGATCAGTAATCTGAGGGTTTTCAAGTCTTGGTTAGCTACAGGATCAGTAATCTGAGGGTTTTCAAGTCTTGGTTAGCTACAGGGTCAGTAATCTGTAGGGTGTTCAAGTCTTGGTTGGCTACAGGATCAGTAATCTGAGGGTGTTCAAGTCTTGGTAGGCTACAGGGTCAGTAATCTGTAGGGTTTTCAAGTCTTGGTAGTCTACAGGATCGGTAATCTTTGGGTGTTCAAGTCTTGGTAGGCTACAGGATCAGTAATCTGTAGGGTGTTCAAGTCTTGGTAGTCTACAGGATCAGTAATCTGTAGGGTGTTCAAGTCTTGGTAGTCTACAGGATCTGTAATCTGTAGGGTGTTCAAGTCTTGGTAGTCTACAGGATCTGTAATCTGAGGGTGTTCAAGTCTTGGTAGGCTACAGGATCAGTAATCTGTAGGGTGTTCAAGTCTTGGTAGTCTACAGGATCTGTAATCTGTAGGGTGTTCAAGTCTTGGTAGGCTACAGGATCAGTAATCTGTAGGGTGTTCAAGTCTTGGTAGTCTACAGGATCTGTAATCTGTAGGGTGTTCAAGTCTTGGTAGTCTACAGGATCTGTAATCTGAGGGTGTTCAAGTCTTGGTAGGCTACAGGATCAGTAATCTGTAGGGTGTTCAAGTCTTGGTAGTCTACAGGATCTGTAATCTGTAGGGTGTTCAAGTCTTGGTAGGCTACAGGATCAGTAATCTGTAGGGTGTTCAAGTCTTGGTAGTCTACAGGATCTGTAATCTGAGGGTGTTCAAGTCTTGGTAAGCTACAGGATCAGTTATCTGTAGGGTGTTCAAGTCTTGGTAGGCTACAGGATCTGTAATCTGTAGGGTGTTCAAGTCTTGGTAGGCTACAGGATCTGTAATCTGTAGGGTGTTCAAGTCTTGGTAAGCTACAGGATCTGTAATCTGTAGGGTGTTCAAGTCTTGGTAGGCTACAGGATCTGTAATCTGAGGGTGTTCAAGTCTTGGTAAGCTACAGGATCAGTAATCTGTAGGGAGTTCAAGTCTTGGTAGGCTACAGGATCTGTAATCTGAGGGTGTTCAAGTCTTGGTAGGCTGCAGCATCAGTAATCTGTAGGGTGTTCAAGTCTTGCCTGAATACAGGATCAGTAATCTGAGGGTGTTCAAGTCTTGGTTAGCTACAGGATCAGTAATCTGTAGGGTGTTCAAGTCTTGGTAGGCTACAGGGTCAGTAATCTGTAGGGTGTTCAAGTCTTGGTTGGCTACAGGATCAGTAATCTGAGGGTGTTCAAGTCTTGGTTAGCTACAGGGTCAGTAATCTGAGGGTGTTCAAGTCTTGGTAGGCTACAGGATCTGTAATCTGAGGGTGTTCAAGTCTTGGTAGGCTACAGGGTCAGTAATCTGAGGGTTTTCAAGTCTTGGTAGGCTACAGGATCAGTAATCTGTAGGGTGTTCAAGTCTTGGTTAGCTACAGGATCAGTAATCTGAGGGTGTTCAAGTCTTGGTAGGCTACAGGGTCAGTAATCTGTAGGGTGTTCAAGTCTTGGTAGGTTACAGGATCAGTAATCTGAGGGTTTTCAAGTCTTGGTTAGCTACAGGGTCAGTAATCTGTAGGGTGTTCAAGTCTTGGTAGGCTACAGGATCAGTAATCTGAGGGTGTTCAAGTCTTGGTAGGCTACAGGATCAGTAATCTGTAGGGTTTTCAAGTCTTGGTTGGCTACAGGATCAGTAATCTGAGGGTCTTCAAGTCTTGGTTAGCTACAGGGTCAGTAATCTGAGGGTTTTCAAGTCTTGGTTGGCTACAGGATCAGTAATCTGAGGGTGTTCAAGTCTTGGTAGGTTACAGGATCAGTAATCTGTAGGGTTTTCAAGTCTTGGTTGGCTACAGGATCAGTAATCTGAGGGTGTTCAAGTCTTGGTAAGCTACAGGATCAGTAATCTGTAGGGTGTTCAAGTCTTGGTAGGCTACAGGATCAGTAATCTGAGGGTGTTCAAGTCTTAGTAGGCTACAGGATCAGTAATCTGAGGGTTTTCAAGTCTTGGTTAGCTACAGGATCAGTAATCTGTAGGGTGTTCAAGTCTTGGTAGGCTACAGGGTCAGTAATCTGTAGGGTGTTCAAGTCTTGGTTGGCTACAGGATCAGTAATCTGTAGGGTGTTCAAGTCTTGGTTAGCTACAGGGTCAGTAATCTGAGGGTGTTCAAGTCTTGGTAGGCTACAGGATCTGTAATCTGAGGGTGTTCAAGTCTTGGTAGGCTACAGGATCTGTAATCTGTAGGGTGTTCAAGTCTTGGTAGGCTACAGGGTCAGTAATCTGAGGGTGTTCAAGTCTTGGTAAGCTACAGGATCAGTAATCTGTAGGGTGTTCAAGTCTTGGTAGGCTACAGGATCTGTAATCTGTAGGGTGTTCAAGTCTTGGTAGTCTACAGGATCTGTAATCTGTAGGGTGTTCAAGTCTTGGTAAGCTACAGGATCAGTAATCTGTAGGGTGTTCAAGTCTTAGTAGGCTACAGGATCAGTAATCTGAGGGTGTTCAAGTCTTAGTAGGCTACAGGATCAGTAATCTGAGGGTTTTCAAGTCTTGGTTAGCTACAGGATCAGTAATCTGTAGGGTGTTCAAGTCTTGGTAGGCTACAGGGTCAGTAATCTGTAGGGTGTTCAAGTCTTGGTTGGCTACATGATCAGTAATCTGTAGGGTGTTCAAGTCTTGGTTAGCTACAGGGTCAGTAATCTGAGGGTGTTCAAGTCTTGGTAGGCTACAGGATCTGTAATCTGAGGGTGTTCAAGTCTTGGTAGGCTACAGGATCTGTAATCTGTAGGGTGTTCAAGTCTTGGTAGGCTACAGGGTCAGTAATCTGAGGGTGTTCAAGTCTTGGTAAGCTACAGGATCTGTAATCTGTAGGGTGTTCAAGTCTTGGTAGGCTACAGGATCTGTAATCTGTAGGGTGTTCAAGTCTTGGTAGTCTACAGGATCTGTAATCTGTAGGGTGTTCAAGTCTTGGTAAGCTACAGGATCAGTAATCTGTAGGGTGTTCAAGTCTTGGTAAGCTACAGGATCAGTAATCTGTAGGGAGTTCAAGTCTTGGTAAGCTACAGGATCAGTAATCTGTAGGGTGTTCAAGTCTTGGTAAGCTACAGGATCAGTAATCTGTAGGGAGTTCAAGTCTTGGTAGGCTACAGGATCAGTAATCTGAGGGTGTTCAAGTCTTGGTAGGCTGCAGCATCAGTAATCTGTAGGGTGTTCAAGTCTTGCCTGAATACAGGATCTGTAATCTGAGGGTTTTCAAGTCTTGGTTAGCTACAGGATCAGTAATCTGTAGGGTGTTCAAGTCTTGGTAGGCTACAGGGTCAGTAATCTGTAGGGTGTTCATGTCTTGGTTAGCTACAGGGTCAGTAATCTGAGGGTGTTCAAGTCTTGGTAGGCTACAGGATCTGTAATCTGAGGGTGTTCAAGTCTTGGTTAGCTACAGGGTCAGTAATCTGAGGGTGTTCAAGTCTTGGTAGGCTACAGGATCAGTAATCTGTAGGGTGTTCAAGTCTTGGTTAGCTACAGGATCAGTAATCTGAGGGTGTTCAAGTCTTGGTAGGCTACAGGGTCAGTAATCTGTAGGGTGTTCAAGTCTTGGTAGGTTACAGGATCAGTAATCTGAGGGTTTTCAAGTCTTGGTTAGCTACAGGGTCAATAATCTGTAGGGTGTTCAAGTCTTGGTTGGCTACAGGATCTGTAATCTGAGGGTGTTCAAGTCTTGGTTAGCTACAGGATCAGTAATCTGAGGGTGTTCAAGTCTTGGTAGGCTACAGGGTCAGTAATCTGTAGGGTGTTCAAGTCTTGGTAGGTTACAGGATCAGTAATCTGAGGGTTTTCAAGTCTTGGTTAGCTACAGGGTCAGTAATCTGAGGGTGTTCAAGTCTTGGTCTGCTACAGGATCAGTAATCTGAGGGTTTTCAAGCCTTGGTAGGTTACAGGATCAGTAATCTGTAGGGTTTTCAAGTCTTGGTAGGCTACAGGATCAGTAATCTGAGGGTGTTCAAGTCTTGGTAAGCTACAGGATCAGTAATCTGTAGGGTGTTCAAGTCTTGGTAGGCTACAGGATCAGTAATCTGAGGGTGTTCAAGTCTTAGTAGGCTACAGGATCTGTAATCTGAGGGTTTTCAAGTCTTGGTTAGCTACAGGATCAGTAATCTGTAGGGTGTTCAAGTCTTGGTAGGCTACAGGGTCAGTAATCTGTAGGGTGTTCAAGTCTTGGTTGGCTACAGGATCAGTAATCTGTAGGGTGTTCAAGTCTTGGTTAGCTACAGGGTCAGTAATCTGTAGGGTGTTCAAGTCTTGGTAGGCTACAGGATCTGTAATCTGTAGGGTGTTCAAGTCTTGGTAGGCTACAGGGTCAGTAATCTGAGGGTGTTCAAGTCTTGGTAGGCTACAGGATCAGTAATCTGAGGGTTTTCAAGTCTTGGTATCCTGCAGGATCAGTAATCTATAGGGCGCTCAAGCCTTGGTTGGCGGATTAACTAGGCCATAGAAATAGGTGCTTGTTTCAGAAATCATGGAAAGTCTGCCATAATGTGTAATAATTCATCTTTGATTGATCCATGTTGTGAGTGTACATAGATGTGTTTCAAGAAGGTAGTGAGAGTTTGTGTACTTGTTCTTCCTCAGCTGGCTGCTCGCTACAGGAAGCAGGTCTCCCTGGACCTGATGCGGACAATGCCGAGTAATGTCAAGTTCGCCACGGCAGGATCCAGAGGGGTGAGTTGTCATGGTGACCACAGACAGACACACAGACAGACACACAGACAACAACTGTTAAGTACAGGATCATTAATGTCCTAACCTGCACACATAGGTGTTATGGAAGCTGGTATGGTTATTCAAAGTATCAGAAGTTCATGCATGTATGGTTCAATCCAGCCAATGTATGAAAGAGTTAGTTAGAGACTCCCAGGATTATGAAAATCACACCTATATACAGATTACAGAATAGTTAGTCTGATGTTTAGTCAAGTGATACATGTGCAAGGAATTAAAGAAGTGATGTGGTTGTTGAGATTGTGTAAAGTATACTGCTGGTGTGTAGACGCGTGTGACCTTCACCTTCAGATCATGGACATGCAGGACATCCTCCTGGCCTTCTGCATCCACAGCCCCTCCATCGGATACTGCCAGGGCATGAACTTCATTGTTGGCATGGCGCTGCTCTTCATGGATGCACAGGATGCTTTCTGGTCAGTTTAACCCTACTCTGGAAATATCTTTGATAGGCCCCATGAAGATCCTGTTAAGAATTGGTCTACAGCAACTGTAGGAGGCAACTAACAGGATCTGGTTGCGCAGATCGATGCTCATGATGTCAATCACTGGATTTTCTGGCCCTGACTTGATTACTAACAGACAGACGTCAAATAGCTGGAATATTGCTAAGTGTGTCTTTAAACAACAAACAAATATCTTGTTAGTAGGAAGTTGACAAAATTTGATTTCAAGAAAAACGAAGATTATAGAATAATATGGAAGTTATTTCTGCTGGGAACTTGGGCCATGTTCCACCTCGCTATCTACTTCAAGGCTGTAATGAGTGAGTGAGTGAGTTGGGTTTAACGCCGCTTTTGACATTATTCCAGTTTTATCACGGCGTGTCAGCTTAATGTGGGAGGAAAGCCCGAAGTGATGCAGGTATCACACGTTTACCACTTCGGTGAAACCCACGAGAATGGGTATGGTGCTGACAAACCTAGAAACATAATTAGGGCGAACCAGGATTCGAACCCACAATCTTAGGTTTCTGGCATGCCCAAGGGACGCAACTCTGCACAGCGAATCGCGGCGCCTTAGACGACTGGGCCACCCGTGCCCCCTATGGCTATAATGACTTCCACACTTTTTGTTTCGTGTATTTTAATCCAAGACCTTGTCACTCTTTGGATCTGAGCACTGAGGTTGTAAACTCCATTTTTTAGTCATTTTAGTATAATACGGGTACTTGGTTTACATATCCACAGCCCCTAAAATCAGGAATGTAGCGGAAAGTTCATTTCTGCTTTTTTTGTTACCACCAAAATGACAAATAATTACACTTACAAAAAAATTAATTCACAAATATTTAGCCCTGTCTGATTCCGACATATGTTGCATGCTCCAGGATGTGTAAACGTTCACTCACACTGTAAATCATAGCTACAACAAATACTTTAACTCCAAGCAGTGTGTGGCTTGTTCTCATTTAAACACTATAAATCTTTACATATATTCACATTTCACAAAAATGCGAAACAAAAAGAATAATTCAAGTTGTATTGGTCATCCTACCGACCTTTTATATCTACAGAAAAAGGGTAGAATATTATTTCTATTTTAATTTCGACCAGCAAGCCAAGATATGAGACAAAAATTCTGTAAACAAGCTAATACCGTATTCGACGATCTTTTAACTGTGTTTTTTTTCTTACCAAAATTATATTCTAATAAGAGCCCCCTATTTCTAATTTTTAGAGCGCCCTAGGCGCTTATTGCGTCAAATACGGTAATAAAAAGTCAGCACAAACAAAGAAAAATACTTGAGAGAGCTGTTCTGGTGTCACCTGTTTTCCACTAAAGGACATAAATGGAGGGATAGGTCAGAGGAATAGCCTCACAGTTATACAATATGTTCCCCTCCCAACTTTCTCTGTGGTCTGGTTGATACAGCCTCTGTCCTGATAGTGGAGGGCCGGTGGCTCGTTCCTTGGATGTGTCTAGTACAAGCAGCCACACACAGACACTTGCATGCATGTCGCTATTGTAAGTGTGACAATCTTGAACATGACCATGTTAAACCCCTTTTCACCTCACCCTGTCTCACCCCCACCCACACATTGCTGCAGTGCACTAACCCCCTGTGACTGTGTACAGGACCCTGGTGGCCATCACAGAGAGTTACTTTACGCCCCCCTAACCACCCCCACCCCCACCCACACATTCCTGCAATGCACTAACTCCCTGTGACTGATACAGGACCCTGGCTTGCCATCACAGAGAGTTACTTTACGCCCCCCTAACCACCCCCACCCCCACCCACACATTGCTGCAGTGCACTAACCCCCTGTGACTGATACAGGACCCTGGTGGCCATCACAGAGAGTTACTTTACACCCCCCTAACCACCCCCACCCCACCCACACATTGCTGCAGTGCACTAACCCCCTGTGACTGTGTACAGGACCCTGGTGGCCATCACGGAGAGGTACTTCACCCCCAGCTACTTCGACCACAACCTGGTGGGTGCCCAGGCTGACCAGCTGGTCCTGAAAGACCTCATCAAGGAGAAGCTGCCCACGCTCTCCAGCCACCTGATGGACATTGACATCGAGGTGTCCACCGTCACCCTCAACTGGTTCCTAGCTATCTTCTTTGATGCAGTTCCATTCCAGGTAAGTCACTTCATTATCTTCATATCAGGTCGGGGGGCGGTCGGGAAGCGGTCGGGAAGCCTAGTGGTTAAAGCGTTCACTCGTCGTGGGTTTGATTCCTGACATGGGTACAATGGGTGAAGCCCATTTCTGGTGTCCCCCTGCTGTGATATTGCTGGAATATTCCTCAAAGCAGCGTAAAACCATACTCACTCACTCACTCACTCACTCACTCACTCACTCACTGACACCAGGGCAGGTGGCCCAGTGGGTAAAGTGTTAGCTCATTATTGTCCATACACAACAGTCATTGCAGCCACCATATCCCCTGTAGATGCAATTCTACACTAGATTCAGATATATTTGTAGTATGTGTATACCCGTTACACTGTTGTGCAGAGTTGTGCCCCTTAGGCATGTCAGGAGCCTGTATGATAAAGGGTTCACATCCATGATTTTCCCTTGTTATGATCCAGGGTTGTCGACCGCCTCCGTAGTCTAGTGGTAGAGTGTCCACCCAGAGAGTGGAAGGTCCATGTTGGTTCATGTTGTTGCCGTTTGAACAATTAGGCCGTACTGTCTGTAGATAACTACAGCAAGACATGCAGGCGGCTGCATGTGTTCTGTCTATTCAATCTCATGTACATTTGTGTCTGTGCTTTAAAGACTGGATCAGATTATGTGAGTATGTGAGTGAGTGAGTGAGGGAGGGAGAGAGCAAGTGGCAATTTGAGCGTGAGTGAGTGAGAGAACGAGTGAGAATTTGAGCGTGTGTGAGTGAGTGGGTGGGTGGGTGGGTGAGTGAGTGAGTGAGCGAGTGAGAATTTGAACGTGAGTGAGTGAGTGAGTGAGTGCCAGCTTCATGTGGAAGCTAAGTGATGCAGGTCATAGACGGGTACTGACAGACCAAGGATGATAATCAGGGTGAATCTGAGATTCAAACACCAAACATGTAGATCCTGGCAGGGCAGGAGAGTACCTCCACATCCTGACCCCCTTATACCATTGAATGTATTTTAAGTTTTGACTCTGATTTAAAGTCTCTGCCTTTAAGCAACAAGTGATACTGATTTGACAATCCCCAAAAACATGTCAAGTAAAAAAGACAAATCTGAAATACACTATTTTATTATATGCCTAAGGCAAACGTAACTTTTAAACAAATTTTACAAAATGTTAATCTGCTCACTGAGCAAGACTGGTGACACTGGCTTAACAAACATGGCAATATATTCTGCTCATGCTATCAACCACCGGTTTGCCAGCACAGTTATGGTCATATACAGGCCACCATGATATACCAGGAACATCTCTACCTCATTCACTCACTCACTCTCTGAGCGTAACACATATCATGGGACATCATTTAGTCGTACACCCCACCTCGTCCATCACCTTTGTGCTCTAGAAGTCACTGTGATGATCTTACTCACCAATCACTCCTGAAGTTAGAGCTTATATCTTGGTTTAGATTTCATTATTGGGATCAACATCCTCAAACCTTGAAGGTTTATCATGCAAGGTCTTTACTGATTGCACTTAAACCCAGTGCCACACAAACCTCGCCATTGTCCCGTGTAAGACATGATATTGCTGTAACTCACACATCAAATTTATAGCCCTCGGCACTGTAGAACAATTGGAGGGGTGCCTCAGGGGCAAGGGGTGACCCACATGGGTAATATTACGGCCCTGGTGTCCCACGGGATGTGTGGTCGTGGACGGACCACCGTTGTAATTTCTTGTGAGTGACTGCCTCAGTTTCATCGTGGATGTAATCGCGTTGATACTTTAGAGGGAATGTCAAGGGGCTGCCCCGAAACAGTGATAGCTATTGCTATTGTTCTGTCCCTAGTCTGTCTTACAGACCCTGATACATTTATATCAACTACAGCCCATGCAAGTCTATAATGTTTGGCAAGTCTAAATTACTGCAGTATCTGAAAATAAAGAGAATCACTGGGCTCCCTTTTTATTAGATTTTTTTTAAGATAACTGAACCAACTGTTTTTTTCTGTACGATATGTTCATTTCAGAGACTATATGTTAGTCTATTCTGTCCCATTCATGCCACAGATATATTTACCCTTTCAACATTTGCTGTTTATAGCCGCATTCTCTAATGCTGCTACACTTAACTTTCTCACTTTTTGTAAAATTGTTGTATATGGTTTCTGCTTCAATGGGGTCAATACTTTCACGAATATCTGGGTTTTATTCTCATTTATATTCATTTCATATTAACCTGTAAATAGGGTAGAGATTTTTCAAGTTTTAGGGAGGTGAGGGGGGTTTGACTTTAATTTGAGATCTGCCTTTTTTTATCTGTTTAGGAACTCAATTATTTTTACCAACACACACATGTGCTAAATTAATATTTTCTTGAAAAAATACTTACTCATACTCATAAAAGCAGTCGTGAATCAAGATTTGACTTCTGGGTATGTCAATACAACCATCTTTGAGAAAAGGGCACATTATTTTTTTCACTAACATGCAAGGAATATGTCAAGGATGAAGTAAACAAGGGACTTACCTATTTAGATGTATTTTGGGAATCTTTTATTATTTCGAATTTAATTTAACAAACTATTCAAGATTCTTGTAATTTACTATAAATGAAGACTAGGGCTGGGACGGGTAACTCAGGTACTCGGGTCAGGTGGGTACTGAGTAGGACCCGGGTACCCACAGGACTACCCGGACCCGTGGTTAGTCACGTGATATATTGTTTAATGACAAAAAGTATCTAAAACTCTATGTTTAAAGTCACTAATGTTCCCAGTTCTTCCTGACTACTACTTCCTTCTGACTTTCATATGTTTGAATAAAAATAAACCTTCATTCAACTTCAGTGTATACACCAGATCGTTTCATACATGTATCTAAACACATTTTACCAGAGCTACGGTCAAACTTTCCCCAATCAGACAGTTTGTACCTACCTCTTGAGACCTACAGCGGGTACCCGGGTAGGGTCGGGTAATAGGGGGTAGGGTACCTTGGTAGTAAATTTGGACTCGTCCCAGCCCTAATGAAGGCAATTGTTTGATAATATATATAGCGTATTTCATCAAGTAAAGATTGAAGACAACACACACGTTTCTTCATCTGTGTACTGGTCAACAGCAAAATGATGCAAATCAGGGTTTGGGTAGTGAATGGCTGAAAATCTAACATTTAATTGATCCTGGCCTGAAGGCATGTGTTTTGGCAGCTGTACAATTGCCGAGAAGCTGTTACCTCCCCTGGGATTCCCCGGTTGATAACACTGTAACGCCTGCTCCACATTCAGATACAATGTTAAACATTATTGCACCAGCCACACAGAGCTCATCCCTGTGCTTAACCCATGTGTTACACTGTAGTAATACATATCTCTGGCTAGCAAGGTAACCTGGGATATATCTCCATTTTAAACGTATGGGAAATACCCAGTGTAGAATGGATGTTAGAACATATCAGAATGGCTGTTGATGTAAAATTTTGCAATATGCTGAACGGTTTTAGAATTTTATCGTGTCTGAATAGAACTTGGCAACATTTATTGTTTCAAGCTGAAGAGAAGTAGAGAACTAGACTATCACAGGTGAATCTGGAATTGTGTAACTATATTCGCCACCCATGTGAACAGTGACCCAGGGTTATCTCCCCTTGAGGAGGGCCTCCCATAACGAGGTAATAAGAACACGAGGATCAAAGCCCCCAGGGAAAGGTCAGCAGTGTCTGTTTATGTTTAGATTGGAAGTCTTTGTTTATCACTTTGCCATCCTGGGGGTCTGTAGTAGATTGACTGCCTCTTGTCTCATGGTTGACAGTCGGAGGTTTCTAGAGAAAGCCCTATTACAACTTTTGAGAAAAAGGAGTGCATAGTGTTTTAGAAAGGAGGAGCAATTAGAAATGTAAAAAGTTAATAAAAATAATTTATGAAACAATTTAACCTCAAAATAGGCAATTAATTGAAAAAAATATACCATGTCGATAAATGATTATTTCATGATGTAGTAATGTGCTTTTTTCATAATCATTTCCTGCAATAAAACAGTTTGAATGTGTGTTGGGGGGAACTGTGGAGAAGTATCTTGCAAGATGTTCACACCTGGTATTAGCTAGGTCGGTGGTGATACTGAGCAATCAGGAGTGAGTGAGTGAGTGAGTGAGTGAGTATGGATTTACGCCACTTCTAGCAATATTCCAGCATATCACAGCAGGGGACACCAGAAATGGTTTTCACACATTGTACCCATGTCGGGATTCGAACCCGGGTCTTCGGGGTGACGAGCGAACACTTTAACCACTAGGCTACCCGACCGTCCTGAGCAATCAGGAACAGATTCTCTGTGGCAGTGGTCTGTGAGTTCATGGCAACAGGTCTGATGAAGAAATGGCGTCTTACTAGATTCTCTGAAGTTGTATGATGAATTCTTTCTTGGAATCGTGTCGATATTACATTGTATGAGCATTAATGGAGTCTGTGACTCTAGTACTAGTCCAAAGCCTAGTGAAGTAAACTTAGCTGGTGATAGTCCTTTTGATGAAAATGAAACGACTTAAAATGATGCTAAGAGACAAGTTTCGGCTTGGAGATTGAAAGTTTGGGGCACATGCTCACTCACTCACTCACTCACTCACTCACTCACTCACTCACTCACTCAACCACTCAACCACTCAACCACTCAACCATCCACCCACCCACCCACTCACTCACCCAGCCACTCACTCACTCACTCACTCACTCACTCAAGGTACACCCAAATCTTTCATATTTCTATAGTTAATCTGTGATGCCATAAACTACTCAAAAACATTAGGGACCACCAAATTCTTTCATATTACAATACTTAATATGTTATGACATGAATATGGAAGAATTGTGTGGTCCTTTTTTTTTTTAGTGGTATATGTTCCTGCGCACATTAGAAAAGTATAAGCTGTAATGAATTCTTAAAAAGAGTCAAAGAGCGGTTATACATATGTGAATATTTATTATGATTGCACTGATACTGAAGTGTATATACATATATACATAATGACATAAAGCAGGCACTGTGCTATGTGCTGCACTAGAGAAAAACACAAAATATCAACACATGTGGCATTAACAATTTAAGTGAAATAAATATTGCAGTTAATAAACATCTTACTGAATTAAAGTGAATGTTATGACAATCAAACAAATTCCTGCCATTTGAGTGACAGATTAATTTTTAAGGAAAATGTAAAGTTAATCGTTAATATCACTTATTGCTGAGAAACCACTCACTCGTAGCAGTCTCTGAAACACAGTGCTTTATCTTTTTACTGTAATGCCACATCAAAAGAGAATTAATGTACTTAAACCAGTATGTTGTTCTGAATAGATGTGAAAAACGTGTTTCACCTGATTTCCTTCACTGAGGGGGATTGTAACATTCGTTTGATGTCTTAGAAATAACAACATGAAAGCTTGAGTTTGACCAACCTCGCATCTAAAGGGTGCATTCTATGATGGGAGGTAGGCAATGGAGGATAACATTCACGGGATATATAATCCCGGTTATGTAATATGTAAGAATAATTTACCAAGGTCACATGTTCATTGACACTGAAATAATTAGTCACATTAGCTGTGTATTTTAACCTTGTTATTATCATATGAACATGCCAAATATGTTGTTGACAAGGTGTGAGTGGATCTCCATGTTAGTACACCTGCATGGCAATAGCTTCCCTTCCCAGACTCCCCTGAGATTAAGAAAAGTAACATCTTGATGGGGATGGATGATAGTGGGGGGTATTTCTCGAGGTAATAGGATATTTTTAGAAAGGGGTGACATTTTGAAATTAGCTTTGTCAAAACAGTCATAAATGTGTCTGCTGATGCATTGTGCAAAATGTGGGGAATGATAGCACAAAGTGACAGGTAGATTTCAAACTGTATGTACGGTCATGTAACATTTTGAGAACATGAATAAACGCCCACTTAAACATGACTGTTGGAGACGTCTGTGTTGTGTTGGTGACATCCTGTCTCTATAAGACTTTAGTTTAAACCTATAGGGTTTACGTTCTTTTTAATTTTGAAACTTACAAGGGAAGTTGTCATGAGTTTGTAAAAGAATTGATATCATTTTTTGCTTCACTGATGTACCCAAAAACTCTATTTGTGGACTTTTCATTCAATATTGACCTGTATTAAAGTGGTGTATTTTTATTATGAATTATTGTATTTCATTGCATTGAAGCATATGATATATTATGCTGAATCTGACACAGTCAGATGCCGAAGTGTGTGATAGTATGAGTTGGAGTGTTATAGTGGACATATTGACAGGGAAATGGACTATCAATGTGAAGACGATGTGATGAGGTCAGTGTTGTAGAAGTTCATGGAGTTGGTCCACTGGTGTTGTGACGTCTGCAGCAACGTCTGCAGCAACGTCCAGCAGAGCTGTAGAAGTTACAGCATATAGTACACGGTGTTGGTCCACTGGTGTTGTGACGTCTGCAGCAACGTCCAGCAGAGCTGTAGAAGTTACAGCATATAGTACACGGAGTTGGTCCACTGGTGTTGTGACGTCTGCAGCAACGTCCAGCAGAGCTGTAGAAGTTACAGCATATAGTACACGGAGTTGGTCCACTGGTGTTGTGACATCTGCTGCAACGTCCAGCAGAGCTGTAGAAGTTACAGCATATAGTACACGGTGTTGGTCCACTGGTGTTGTGACATCTGCAGCAACGTCCAGCAGAGCTGTAGAAGTTACAGCATATAGTACACGGTGTTGGTCCACTGGTGTTGTGACATCTGCTGCAACGTCCAGCAGAGCTGTAGAAGTTACAGCATATAGTACACGGAGTTGGTCCACTGGTGTTGTGACGTCTGCTGCAACGTCCAGCAGAGCTGTAGAAGTTACAGCATATTATACACGGAGTTGGTCCACTGGTGTTGTGACGTCTGCTGCAACGTCCAACAGTGGAAGAATGTTTCAGAAACCACTGTTACTGTCATCAAGTTATAGTTAGTGTTTTGACAAGTGATATGTATAAATTCACTGCTGCAAACTCTAAATGGACATGGCAGATCTCAGGGATGAGACTGTGTCCACATCAACACAAAACATCCAGCTAGAAATACCATGACGATACGCCATAATGCAAATCAGTGAATCCGTAGAAATACGACAGGGACATACTATGAATTAGGTCAACAATAAAACAATGTAAAATTGAGACATAAAAACATGTGCAACAAAGTGTCAACATTCATTTTAAAAATCCCTGATAATATCTATAGTGTTTATGCTACTTTCCTAATCATAATCTAGGTTTAATTTTCATTACTGAAGTCTTCATCTGAATCCAGTCTTGCCAGTCACTGTTGAACCACACAATGCCGGTGTCGTAACGGCCGTTGAGGTTGCTGTATTGGCAATGGCGGTACCACCAGCCCGAGGTGAAGTACAGAGCACAGTGGGTGCTGCTCAGGTCATTGTCCTTATCCTGTGTACTGAAGGCCATGTCATTAGAATAGTCCATTCCATCTGTAGCGTTGCCATGGAAACCATGAACCCGTAGCTTATAATTTTCCTCTTTTGTTGAAATTGCAAACTCATCATATTCCACAAACCAGTATCCATCGAAGACATCCGTCATTTCGATCCTGAGAGAATAGTTATCATGCGTTGTCATCAAATGAATGAATTCATTGCCGACCCAGAATTCATCCTCAGCGGAACCAAATCCTATGGCATATTCCGCCCAAGATCGACTAAAGTTCTCCTTGCCATGCACACGTTTCTGAATCAGTGTCCAACCACCATCGGCCTCCATGCTGCAGTAGACGAACACTGACTGCAGCGCCCCCTTGGGGTATATGATGTACTTCCCGGAGTCCAGGAACCCACGCTTGTAGTAGCCATCACAATCTGGAACAAATAGTGAAGGGTCATTACTTTCAAAAAACAAAATCTTACAAATCGCTCTGTGTGTAAATCTGACAATCAGACTTTCTTGACATATCCTCTGAATATTGAATGTGATGTTAGCCCATAACCTGAATGTAATGTAGATACATCAGTACTCTGTTTTAACCATTAACCTTTTTTGGAAATGGGTCAGTGGTGGCCCAGTTGTCTAAGCTACTGCAATTGTTGTACAAGTATGCACTAGTCATAGGTTGCCCTGATTGTCAGCCTCGATCTGTCATCACCATTGTCCTGGCTCGTGGGTTTCACCAAAGTGTCAAATACAATGTATCTATAAACTGAGCTGATGAGGCATTTCGCCACATTAAACTGACATATGTTACAGTACTGAAATGTGGCATTGGACACCACTCATTCAGAATAGGTAACAGAATTTCACAACGGTTCTCAGATCTTTTTGACAGCTGTAAATCTCTACTGCAACTATTTGCCAACATCATATCCTTGTACTCAGTTATAAAAACTTTTTCGCTCTCACTGACAAATACTATTAAATCATCAGTACTGAAATGTGGCATTGGACACCACTCATTCAGAATAGGTAACAGAATTTCACAACTGTTCTCAGATCTTTTTGACAGCTGTAAATCTCTACTGCAACTATTTGCCAACATCATATCCTTGTACTCAGTAAAAAAACTTTTTCGCTCTCACTGAGAAATACTTTTAAATCATCAGAGCTCCAGATACTCAGATATGCTGATACTCAGAATATTTGCAAAACAATTGTGAAATTTTTCAAAATTTCAATAGTACAACAAGACTGTGTGTAATTTTCCAATGTAAATAACAAACTTATAGCCGGAGCCCTTATTCATTGGCTATGTGAAAACATTTCCACCCATAACCCCTTGCTTCCCCTCACACAAACTCAAACCCTAACCCTAATCATTTTTAATTACTTCCAGCCAGGGTTTATGATTCATAAAAATTACGAGTCAGGGGTTGCGGGCAGAAGTTTTATGTCTCTATGTCCTCACCTGTGGGTACAGTGGTGAGGAGGTTGGTGACCTCCTGCTGCACGAGGCTGATGATGGGCATGTACAGCTGCCATGTTGCTGCCTTCGACCACAGCTTGTGCAGGAACACTGTGTTGTTCTTGCAGTTACTGTGTACCCGGTACAGAGCCCGGTCAACTCTCTTGATCATCTCACTCAGCAGCAATCCCTGGCTGGTCATTGCCGACATCTCCTTCTCAAGGGTCAGCAGGCGGCCATCTTGGTACAGGTCCTTGCTGGACTTCTGACACTGGAACAAAGTCTGGTTGAGGACCTTGCTCTCCAAGTTGGCGATCCTGTTCTCGTTGTAGATGATCTGTAGGGCTAGGTCCTCCACGCGGGACATGACGTCCCCAGATGGTGGTGTGTACCCAGGTTGTTGATGGGCGGTGGTGGGACTTCCAGACTTGATGCTGCCAAGGTACTCTACATGTTCCCGAAGGTCCTGCACACTGTTGTTGAGGCGGATGATGTGCATCCTGAGAACTCGGTACTGCTGGTCACTAAGGAGTCGCTGATCGGTCATCTTCCAGTCCATCTGACCGACTGCCCTGGAGTTGTTGAGGATCATGTTGGTCATCTGTGCAATCTGCTGCTGGTTGAACTGGGTGGAGTTGATGATCTGATCGCTGGCCATCTTCCACTGATCCAGGGTGATGACATTCTGGGTGAAGTTGATGAGAGACTCCTGCAGCTTCTGCATGAAGTCCCCAAGCTGGATGGACAGAACCCGACTCTCAACCCCATGGATCTTCTCGCCCATACGGACCATCTGCTGCTCCACGTTCTCAATGTCCGTGTCTCGCTTTAGAATCTCTTGTTCAAAGTAGGAGTCATGTGTCTTCAGAAGGTCCTTTATCCTGGCCTCTAGTTCTTCTCTGTCTGCGTTGTCAAGCTTGCCCTTGACTTGCTGCTCTAATACTTGAAGTCTGTCTTCCAGATCTACCACATTAACACCATTGACACTTGATGTGTTGAGTGTGGGAAGGAGAGTGTCAACATCCACACCATCTCCATCTCCACTACCTTCTTCTGCATCTGGAGGACCTGTATTGGGTCTTGACATCCGACTTTCAAAGCTCATATCCCCCGAGCCGTCACCGGAATCTAGGTCCTCATTGGTCCAAACAAGGGAATCATTTGTTTGATTCAGTTCTAACCTGTTCACATTTCGTCCATGCCTTCTCTGATCTTTTACATGAACTTTTAATATTTTAACAACATTGCCATATCTATTTTGAAGTTTTGAAATTGAGTCACTATTTGTTTTTTCCTTTTTTCGCAAACCCTGCACGTCCTCCATCAAAGAAACATAACTTTGAAACAAATCTTCTTTCACACTCATCAGTTGTGACATATTATGCCGCACTTCAAACACATGATCATCCTCAAATGGCCTTGCATCCTTAACCAAGGTCATCTCGTGTTTGGTTTCGCGCTGTTGAAAGTCTAGTCGTGTAATGTCTAGCTTGATGTTTGTCGACTGCTCCTCAATGGCTCCAAAGCGCTCCCGAAGCTCCACAATGTGCTGGCGCAGCTGGACCACTTCAGCTTCAGCTTTGATCATCGTGTCGCGGTATTGTCTTGTTCGTCTTTCCATTCGACGGAGACGGGTTCTGTAAACATAGACCAAGATTAATCATTCGTTTCACATGGTTGAGTTTCTTTGTGAATAAACATCAGATATGATAAATGTTGTCAACAACATTCTAGTTAGCTATGTCCAACCTCGTTTTCAGGGTTTTTGTGTTAAATCATTAAGCTTTTTTCTTGAAACTGATTTCAATTGTTTTTCAGGGGTAAATTTGTGGGTTTGATAAATTTCTGCCATAAGCTGACGATTTTGGTATTCATAGATTACCAAGAATATTCCATTATTTTCAAATTGCAAATTTTTCATATCAAACAAAGTGGACAATAATAAAGAAGTGGGAGGTTATAAAAGGATATATAGAAGATATTCACCATGGTAATTATGACTGATATCTGCCAATAATGAAACCCTTGTACAGTGTTAAAGAAATGAAAGGATCACATCCATGAGTCGATCTATAACAGCGAATCAAATGTAAGATCATATACACAAATATTTATAGAATGAGAAATACTCTGTTCAAGTATGTTGAGGTGAGGTGAAATGAGGCATAACGTCGTTTTCAAGACTATTGCACTTATATGCGACTCAGATTACGATTTGAATAAAAATACACAAAAACTGAAAGTTTTGCTTTGATTAACAGCCTGAAAGCAATTGTATGACAGATTTGAGCAAGTTTCACAATGTTCCTTCACAAAAAAGCCTACAGCTTACTTGAAATGCCCTTTCAGGGGTAACATGATGTGGCAACTCACAAACCTGTCTGATATTTTATATCCATTTATTCAATTTTGTGAAGTTACATGTTCAAAGATGTAAGCACTGGGTGAACCTCTCTTTGTCTTGAGGAAAAGGGAACTGAAGTTGGGCATAAATGCATCATTATTGAAAAGCACCTGATAATAAACTCCCTCATGGTCATGTTCAAAGGCTTGTATGTCTTTCTGCTCTCTCTCTTTGTTTAGTTATTTCTTTAAATTTTTCAATATTTTTATGATAATTTTAGGGGCATTGGGTTAGCCTAGTGGTTAAAGCATTTACTGGTCACACCAAAGGACTGGGTTGTATGTGAAGACGGGAGACCTCCACCGTGATAGTGCTGCAATATTGTTGAAAGATGTGTAAAACCTCGCTCGTTAGCTTGCTTGCTTGCTTGCTCGCTCGCTCACTCACTCACTCACTCACTCGTCCCCACTCGCCTCACTCACTCACTCACTCACTCCTATATTCTTGTCTTAATAACTTCAAGAAATTTGTTTTGTTTTATTAGTACTTGACATATTGTCAACCCAATGTTTTTTGACAATGATTAATCACACTTTTTCCCTACTTTTGTGACAGGAAAAACAGACCAATTCTATTTCTCTGTCCTTTCTTCATTTGAAGAAAATAAAGTCAAGTGTAGCTCTCTGCTCTAGTTTTATACCCTAAGCTTACTGCTGGCTCAGAGACTGTTTATACCAATTATCAATAAATGCCCATCAAACATACAGTATTGAAGTCAAGGTCATGACAAGACTACTTCACGAGCCTGAACCTCATATTAATGTTTGGTGAGACTTCTATCTTACTCAGACCCATCAGTTGGCATTATCAAGTGGGACATCAGGCTTTGGCAGCTTACGATTTTTGTCATTTTAAATGTTTGAGTTTACACAACATGACAAGCAGTCTGACAAGGGACATCAGTTACACATCCACCAGTCAGTATAATGGGCATCCATTTTAACATTCCAAATCAGTATTTTATTGGGCAGCTTTTTAATCAATTAATCAACTCCGAAACCCCTTTCAAAGTGTATTTTATACATGTGTATGTATGCATACAGATCTTAAGGGTGTTGTTTGATGTTCTTCAAAGGGAAGGCTTAAAACACTAATGTATTCCTACAGCTATAAATAACGTAATACACAGACCGTTCATCCTAGAATTTCTTAATCAAAGCAATGTTACTCCTACACAAATATTTACTATGTCTGTATTCGCCTGCTGAATCATATAATCGATCATGTGTTCATACTCAAGAGTGGCTAACAAATCAGTCTAGCATATCGCACTGATGGGTCATGCCATGTCTTCCTTGGTAAGACAGTTAATATGGCTGCCTGCTGTACCAGGAGAGATCATATCTCGGCACGAAGATGAACTAAAGAGGTGATTAAACCAATATCCTTGCAGATGGATGAGAAAATCTATAATAACGTTCCTACGTCAACTCAAATAATATTTCCCCCAAGTAAGGGACTGGTCATATATTATTGGGGGGGGGGGGCAAGGGATTGGTCTTTGGACTAATTCATATTTTTCTGCCCCCCTTATTTTCTGTAACATTTTTTTCATAACCCCCCCCCCCCCCCCCCCCCCCCAAAAAAAACAACAACAACAAAAAAACAACATGTGTAACATTCACTCATGACCCCCTCCCTATAATAAATTACCAGTCGCTAAGTAATATCAAATTTATATTTTTATTTTCAAATAGAACTGTAATTTTTACCTCACACACACATACGCACATACTCACGTCCCCCTTAGTGTCACTGGCCTGCCTCCCCTATAATAAATGGCCAGTCCCTAAAATAGGAAGCCTGACACAAACTGTTGCCATCATCTTAAATTCCCTGTAGCCTGTGGCTAGGTTTCATGCCTGGCAGTGTTTGGTCTTACAATTTCCTTGATATTGCTTTTTTAGAACATATTAACACAATTATGCCACTTCAAAGATGCTTCATTGATTGTTTCTGCATCGTTCTCCAGGGGGATTTCAATTTGTTCTTTTATGACCTTGAAGTGTCTTAGATATTTTATTTAGACATTTCCCTGATTGATTTTGAAAGAATGAATGATGTACATTAAGTTTTCTGTGGTGTGTTAAATTTACTGTTACTGTATAATCCAAGAAGCATAAAACATCACACGAATCACTCTGAGAAATATATACGTTTTTGTTATCAGTAAAACAATAATCACAACATGAATGTGGTCTTTACATTAAAATGATGTGGTTAAAAACTTATATCATTGTCTTCAAAAACGGTACTTGAAATTACAAGAAGAAAAAATAGTGTTGCTTATCTGTAAGTCTTTTGTTTGTCAACATTTTCAACAATAGCTAATGTCAGCGCTAAACAGAAACTTTGACTTTGCTCCACTGTGATAATATGGAAGATTTGAATGCAATCTCGACAGAATGTTTCTCAGGGAGTTCAGCTTGTTCAGATCGGTAGGCGGACATATTTATGATGTCTTTGTATACTGAACCAATATATTTTGGAGAAGAATAACCAATAGTCACTTAGATAGAATACAACGATAAATATGTTATTACCAGGACTGTGTTATATATTGCATAACCAACCCACAGGAGAATTTCCAAAATAAGGTACAAGGAGTGATATTTGCTGTCCAATTATATCCAAATCAGTTCCATATTGTCTGGTACCGTATCCCCCATGAGACCTGGCATCAAACATCTGATCTCGGACTCCTTGGCGCACTTAACCCCTGCCCTTATTCTGACTGGCTACGTTTATCACAACCATCTTAGAGAACAGTTGGATGGAATGGCAGAACATATCGACTGAATGGCGAACACAGAGACGGGAATGCCAGAACGGAGAGACATGTTGGCAGCTACAGCTTTGGTCTCTCTGTCAGGAAACGGCACCGGAATGGTAAATGAGTTGAAAGTATTGCGAGCATACCCTTGTGTGTTGGGGAAGCTGTGCCATCATACCAAGACATGTGGCCAGATGGACGTGGATTCCGGCAAAACTATCAACTTCACTTTTGATAATCTGCTGGAGTAGTGTCCCTTTGGGCCTGCAAGTCATTTTGAATCATCACATCAGGGCCCTGTCCCTTATCCCTCAAAGTGATCGTAGCACTAATGTGATCGTAAATCCCTTAACCTAGACTAAGGAGAGTCCTATAGTCCTGCACCATGACTGTGGAATATATTTATTTTATGAAATGCATACAAAAGCAAGTCTAGCAAGCTCAAGCTAGCTCTGAAATCAGCATAGGGAAAATAAATAAATTTTTAGAGTCAAGAAGCATATTGTGTAATATAAGATTTCAGAGACTAAATGTTAGTCTAAGAGTCCTAGCGCTACGATTACTTTGTGGAACGGTGCTCTGGGAGGGCCATTGAAGGTCTTGCTTCAGGGTGTTGATGGCAGACATGGCGTGTCATACTCCTGAGGGAGATTAGAAGTTAAGTGACTCAATACTAAACTGCACCCTTTTATCAGGGTATGAAACTCCCAAAAATTTCAGCCAGACCACAGGACTGGCTAGCTGAAATACTTGCCAGCCCTGACCAAAACCTGCCTGCCCACTATAATCATATGTTTCTCAGGATAAGCTAACGGGGTTTCTTTTTGGTTACATTTTATCATTCATCTTTACATGTGAATTAATGCTTATCATCGGCAAATATTTTGAATATTTTTACATATGAAATATAACCCGACCGTCGGGCAGGGGGATTTGAAAATCTGGCAGCCTGAGTTGAAATCAACCCGTCTCGGACGGTCGGGCAGGCAGGTATTTCGAACACTGCTTTTATCAAGTTCACAGATCCATTCACTGTTTGTTGTCTTTATGTACAGGAGAGTGATTATGAAGGGAAGTAATTCAGTAGTGAGTGAGTATTGTTTAACGCAGCTTTTAGCAATATTCCAGCAATATCACGGCAGGACATACAAAAAAGGGGCTTCACAAATTGTACCCACTGGGGGAATCAAACCCAGGTCTTCATCGTGATGAGCGAACACTTTAACCACTAGGCTACCCCACCGCCTAATTCAGTAGTAGGTATCTATGATGTTTGATTAGGGGCAAAATAAAATATGAAATTACAACCTCCCTTTCCAATCTTTCATTTGTCTGTATGGTTTTAACTAACCAACCACCTGCATGGCATGGATAGAGTGTCTGCCTGGGCAGCAGAAGGTTTGTGGTTCGATCACAGCCATGTCATAACAAAATTTGTTAAAAGAAGGTACTAGTTGTTT